CTCATATGTAAGCTTTTGGGGGATATCTCATATCTAAACCATACAGTAGGTAATGTTTTGGCCTTGTGGTACTTATCTCCATACCACTTGAGGTATAAGATGTGGAGCAGATCTTTACTAGGTCCTGTAGATTGAGAATTGGTGGTGTTGGGGCTTGTGGCTTTAGTATCTGTGGTCCTAGAGCTGTGGGGTATGGGTGGGAATGTCCTAGGTCATACAGGGAAGGCTCTAGTGGTGTCAAGGCTTGTGGCCTTGTCGTTATAGTCCTGATCTGAAAGCATAGATGGGCTTTTCCCCTGGTCTCCAGGGACAAACTTGAGTGATGTCAAGGTCTCAGGGTCATGAGCTGGAAAGGATACTTCCCTAGATCCCATAGGGTGCGCAAGGACGTTGGTGAGGGTTGGGTCCACTGGTTGCTATGTACCTGGAGCTAGGGGTCTTGGGGTTTGGCTGGGAGCTTTTTAGTTCCAGAGATAAAGCTGGGACTTTGCAATGTAGTTAGAGTCCTAAGGTTGTGACTGGGGAAGAGACCTTCCCTAATTTCTGTGAGCAAGCATGGGCAGGACTCAGGTTTGTGACTATGGCAGTCACTGGTCCAGAAGCTGTAGGACACTGAGAGGTCTTCTGCCCAGTGAGATACACATCAGTCTGAGATTTCCAACAGGATCAGTCTTGTGGCTACCAGCTTCCAAACCAAGTCTGGTTGTTATGACAGTTTGAGTTCTGGGGGTTGAGAGAGGAGTTACTTTTATCTATGTGTTTAATATTATTATTACTTTGTGGATCTTGGGACTGAACCAAGGGCCTTGCACATGACAGGCAAGTCCTCCCCTACTGAGCTACATCTCCAGCCCCAGAGGAGTCACTCTGAGACCAGCCAGCTCCAGGAACTGGATTTAAAGCCTGAAGTGAATGAAGTTCTTCTGTAATTAGGAGTACTAGTCAGCTGCTTCGATGGGATTGTTGGCATTTTTCCACTGTCTCTCTGCCCTGTGGCAGGAGCCCCTATCGCAAGGCGGCCAGCACCTCGCCAGGGTAATTTTTCCTGCTCAGAAGGAGATAAACCACCTGAGAAAATAAAAGTCTGAAGTAATTACCGAAGAAGAAAGAATCAGAGCCAAGAAATAGTTTTAAAAGGGATAGAGTGCCTGATAAACCCAGTCCACACAGGAGCTGGAGCTGGACAGCCAGAAAATGGCTCTGGTCATTTATTTAAGTGGATATACATCAAAGGCAGGGATTAGGTTGCAGGGGGTGGAATCTTGCTTGGTGTGGCAGGGGACTTGTAGCAAACAGGTTGATTGGCATCTTGGCAGGCCACACCCATTTCTAAAAGGCTGCGTGTCTATGTGGTTTCAGCGGGTCACCCCATCTCTGGTGCATTGCTGAACTTGGCAGAGCTAGGTAGGAATTTCACATGTACTGGCCGATCTCACCAGCAGGAGTGCTGCTGTGAATTCCCAGAGAGCCGACTTTCCTACCCAAAGGCTTCCATGCCGATTTGGTTCATGCACAGTTCACAGAGGGTCCTCAGCAAACATCACCCCAATGGGAGCCAGGGTTGAAGTTGCAATTCTTTTATTTTTGTTCCCCTAGTTTGTCTTTCTGGCTCTCCATAACATTAGGGTTCCTGTCACTTCATTTCCAGAGTTCTCTCTCACTTATCAAAATAGGTTCACCACTGCTGACCTGACTCTACTCTGGCAGAGTCGTGCATAGCCATCTTGGCTCCAATAAAGCCTTTTCGCTCAAGTCAAAAATCCTAAGAAATAGCCCAGTCTTGGTCAAAATATAGTTAAGTTTTCAAGAGCCATTCTAGGTCCCTGTTTACTCAAAATGTTCATAGTAATTAAGTCTCAGTGCAAGTTTCTCAGAAACTTGAACCAAAGCTCTACTTTTAGAAACAGTTCTTTACATCATTAAGCTCTTTGATGAGCATAAAGTTTTTAAGTTGGTCATGCCAAACTTGAATAAGAAAGCTAAAGATAGGTGGGAATCCCCACCATGGATGGTAACCAGAAACCTCCTATAGAATTTCCATAGACTGATTTATTTATAATGCAGCTGGCTCAAAGAACAGTTTTATAATGAAACTGCAAGATGACTCCCAGCTGACAAGTCAACCTCTGTTCTCAAGGTTGATTCCTACCCCCTGGGAAAATTGATTGCTGATGAGAAATACTAGACTAAAAAAAAAATCCTCCCACATTGATTCCACAAGTCAGATCCAATATCTTTAATACTTTCCTGGAAAAGAAATGAGTGGACATTCCAGGGTTTATGACAAACTTTGAGAATGATTTCTATTATGTAAAAGCATTGAAGGCCAAAAGAAAATTGATTTCTTTCCAACTAGAGATCATAAGCAGGTTATCAGGAATGAAATAGTCTATCCTAAATTTGGCAGGAATATCTCTGTGATTTTAATCCCCCATGATTAGTTAGGATATTTGGCTTTCTCTCCGTATTAGGACTTATTTTCCTTGTATATGTATTATAAATATCTGTGTTACTATGTTATTCAGATTTTTGGGACAAAATTCCTGATAATTTTAAAACTACCAAAGTTATTTCTTCCTGTATCTTATTACTGAGGCCATCTTAGCCTAGTTATTGACTGGTCAACCTAGAGGCAAATCCATGCTGCTCTTTGAATCTGAAATATTCTCTCAAATTCTCTTGGGGCTTTCCATCTATTTGACATAAGTTTAAGATGCTACTCACACTTTTCTGAGGGTAAAGGAAATATGTGTGCACATAAATGGCCTAACAAAACACATCACACCTGGGGTTGGGGATATAGCTCAGTTAATAGTGTGCTTGCCTTGCATGTACAAGGCCCTGGGTTCTAATCCCCAGCACCACCAGGAAAAAAAAAAAAAGACATACATCTGGGCTGGAACAGTTAACTATTTTCTTTCCTCTAGCATATTAAATTTATCATATATTTAAATGGAATATCCTGGGTTTTCAAGAATACTACTATGTCACCTTTAAACATGAATATATTTATTTCCTTCCTTGCAATTTTATATCTATAATTTATTGCCTTTCTGTCTAGTTGAGTTCCAATTATTTCCAAACTTTATACGTCTTTATTTTTCAAAAGTTTACTGTCATTTCTTGAAGAACTGTCAAACTGTTTTCCACAGTGGCTGCACCATTTTACATTCTCACCAAAAGTGCTTGAGGCCCCAATTTCTGCATGTATTTTCTATTATTATGGCACCCTAGAGAGTGTGAAGTGGCATCTCATTGTAGTTTTGATGTGCGTTTTCCTGAGGACTAATGACGTTGGGCATCTTTTTCATTTGCTTGCTGACCATTTATATATCTTTTTTGGAAAAGTCTTTTTTTTTAAAGAGAGAGAGAGAGAATTTTAATATTTATTTTTTAGTTTTCAGAGGACACAACATCTTTGTTTGTATGTGGTGCTGAGGATCGAACCCGGGCCGCACGCATGCCAGGCGAGCGCACTACCTCTTGAGCCACATCCCCAGCCCTGGAAAAAATCTTTTAGAAAGTCATTTTTGCAGTGTTTATTTTTAAGCATCCCAACCTCTACCTCTTCCTGAGAATTAGTTCCGTGTCTTGACAGACCTTTTGGTTTTGTAAATGTACCAGAAATATTACTGTAGTTATATCTTTCTAGCAGGTTCTGACAGGACTTTTAGAAGCAGTCTTACAATTTTCCTAAGTTTCATTCACATCACATGAAGGCAGCAACTGTTGGAATATATTTAGATTCCATTAGGGTGCATTTTGCTATCACAATGAAGTCTCTTATGAATCATTTCATCCCATCAGTTATCATTCCTGAACAGTACAGATATGACAGCAACCTTTAGGTGGTGCTCTTTGGTTAAAAATACCCTTCAAACAGCTTCAGTGCATAGTCCATTGCATGTGTATGTGTGTATACACGTGTGTGGGGGCTACTCGGGATTGAACCCAGGGGCATTCTATTACTGAGTTATGGCTTCAGTCCTTTGTTTTTGTTATTATTACTATTTTTTAACTTTCTTTTTGGTACTGAAGAGCAATCCAGGGACGCTTAACTGCTGAGCCACATCCTCAGACCTTTTTTGGTATTTTATTTAGAGTCTCACCAAGTTACTTAGCCAGGCTAAATTGCTCAGGCTGGCTTTGAACTTGAAATCCTTCTGCCTCAGCCTCCTGAGCCATTGGGATTACAGGCGTGCGCCACCATGCCCGGCCCTTATTTTTTGAGACAGAATCTCACTAAGTTGCCCAGGCTGGCCTCAAACTTGTGATCCTCCTGCTTCAGCCTCTGGAGTAGCTGGGATTAAAGGCGCCTGGCACCCTTGAATATTTTTAAGAAAATCTTCCAGGTTTGTTCTGAGTCCTTCTTATTCCAAGTCTACTGCATAAACTAATGGCCAGTTCCCTCTCCTCCCACCTCAAGCACCTCCAGACAGATACTCTCTTATCATTTTCTACTAATCAGGCCTCCCAAAGACCTCCCTGACTCCCGACTCCTCCACGTTTCCTTGGTGGGGTTGCTGCTTCCCTTGTGTCTGGGTGCTAACCACCCAACAGGTCGTTGTGCTCAACTCCTCCCAGCTCATACCTCGGGCATCCACCTCCTCCTTACCTACTTTCCTCCCCTTCTACTTCCTTCTTTGTTCCCCTTTGCCCTTTTTTCTGCCAACTCTTCATCATATATTTCCAGAACCATCTACTCCTTTCCCCTTATGGTTCCAAAGAGTTGATGTCATTTGGAGAAATTGTTCCTTGTCTAAATATACTAACATGCATTTTCCTTGCAGCAGACTTGATCTTAGCAACTGAACCTTATGTTCCTAAAGTCTAATCGCCTTTTTCAGTCACATCTCCACTAACATTTAGTGTCTTGTCCCAAACTTTATTTCTCATCAGCACAGAACCCCTAAGTCCCTTGAGGAATCTTGCAGGACTAGATTCTTCTATACTTACAAACAAAAACAAAAACAAAACTAACTGAAAAATATTTTAAAATATTACATTTTCCAAAGATTTTACTAAAGCATTTATTTTTTTAAACAAAAATATACATTCAATCTTAGATTTACAGCATATAGAAATAATTTATCTGAAGCAATTTGCATTTTTAAAATTGCTAATATTGCACCCAACAGTATAAGTCTTTGACACATTGCATCATCAACCTTTCCCACAATTCAAAAACAGGAGAGAAATCTGAAACTGACAAAATTATACAAGCTAACTTTTCTGTAAAAAAAGAGAAACATACAATTCTTTTTATTTACAAGATAAAAGTTGTAAACGTTTAGAAATTCCATGTAATAGCCACACATTCTTTTATTATACCTAGAAAATACATTATAAAATTACAATTATATTTTTCTGTCCTGTGTCATTTATACATGTGTTGTGATTTCCTCATAGAAATGCACCAATGTGAATAGTCACAGCCTAATGGTAAAGGTGAAAATTACTCCCCAGCCCCACTTTAAAAAAAATTGTTGAAAATACTTCTGCATCTTCAATAGAACGTGGAAACTAGTGTGTTTTTTCTAGATCCATTTCTCACCTAAATGAGAAACGGCTCTAGAAGAAACTATTACCTTCTGGAGAATATTTTTAGTAATTGCCTAAAGTTACCTTCAAAGTTCAAAGGTTATGCTGTGCTTCAGTCTTAGAAATGAAGTTCCCTAGAGGAAAAATAGTAGAATGAATCAGACATAACTTTCCTATGTTCTTATATGAATACATGACCAGTGTAACTCTACACCAAGTACAAACACAAGAATGGGAAGGTATACTCCATGTATGTATGTCAAAATTCATTCTACTGTCATGAATTACCAAAAAGAACAACAAAAAAGAATAAAGATTATTAAAGTATATCCTCAGATTGCCAAATAAATAAATAGATACCATATATTTAGTTTTAAAAACTTTAAGTGTGATTACACTTAGTTAAAAAAAAATGAAGGAAGGAAGGAGGTTCCCACTAACCTCTTCCATCATGATATATAGAGAGTACGTTTCTGTTCAAGGCCCTTATAAAATACTTTATGTGTAGGCAGGCATAAAAGTTTGCTTTTTAAAAGACAGTTTTGTGAAATGTTCTGCAATTTACCATTGATATACCCAAGGTTTTTCTGCTTAAGCATTTTTTTCTCCACTATACACTTGATCTTTCAATTGCTCCCAGGCAGCACTAGGGAAGGCATCCAAAGGACCCCCGCATTTTAGATACATTCCTATTCTATGTAGCAGCAACCTCTCATTTACCTTGGTAATCAAGGCCAGTCACCCTAAGGAGAGAGTAGCTTCTTCCTCCCCCCACACCATATATCTAGTGGGGTAAGTGATATAAAAGAACACTGCCCTTCAAAGGCAGGCACACTAATATTTTTTGGTAGGCATTCTTCTGTTCTTTTTAAAAAATTAATTTTTATTTGACACATAGTAATTGTACATATTTATGGGATACTATGTGATGATTTATATTTATTTACTTGGGGCTGGGGATGGAATCCCAGACCTTGTGCAGTGCTCTAACCCTGAGCTAGCCCCTGTCCATCACATGTTTCCATATGTGTACACAATGTGGAATGTTCAAATCCTAGTTTGTGTATCTCCTCAAACATTTACCATTTCTTTGTAGTGTAAACATTCAAAATCTTTTCTTCCAGCCTTCTTGAAATACATTTATTATCATTATAAAGACCCTCCTATGCAATAGCATGCTAGAATTTATTTTTCCGAACTGAAACTTTCTTAGTGCCTGTTGATAATATCCTCAGTTTTCAGAAACTTTTTTTAAAAGTCTCTAAATACTTGGGTGCTTAAAAAAAGTAGGAAATCAAGTCCCTTGGTAGTAGAGGAAGTTGCTAAAATATGGATTAGTAAAAATGTGTAAAGTGCAGCTTAACTTGGAAATAAACCAAAAACAGACTGAAATCTTACACTTATGAAAACAGTCTCTGGGAAATTCATGCTTAAGATCACAGACAGGAAAATTTAATTGTCATTTTACAATGCAATAGCATTGGAACTGAAATAGAAGACATTTTCTAATTCTGTTACCCTAGATTGAGTCTGAATTGAAACGTTCCCTTTGAATCACAAACAACATAACCAGATGTATGACAGGGTCTCTTGGCTTTGCTATTGCTCAACAGCTCAACCCAGATCCTTTCTTATAAAGGTTGTTGTCTTCTGTATCTTTGCGACAAATTCAGTTTTTTTTTTTTTAAAGTTCCTGAGAGTCTTTCATAAAAAAATAGACATTTCCGTGCGTGCGTGCGCGACCCGCGAGGCTGGCTCTCAGCTCTCCACCGTGCGCCGGTACTCGGCCGTCCCGTCGGCGATGATGGCATCCAGCGGCGAGCGCTTCTTGCGGATGCTGCGCCCCGACGAGATGAGGTCCGCGTAGCCGCGCTGGTGCGAGAAGGCGTAGGCCGAGCGCCTAGACGACACGCCCCGGCGAAACACGTTCTGCCGCCGCTTCCACTGCTCCTCGGCCTTCAACCGCTTGCGATGCTTCTGGATCTGCATTAAGTGGGAGAAGTGGGAGGGATGAAAATACAGGTGAGGGCATCTGGCCAAAAGGAGCAGGGCAGAAAGGAGCGATGGGGCATCTAGGGCGGATGCAGGCATCACTGTTGTGTCCCAACCTTGAACTTGAGGACGTGGAGAGCAGGGGCGGTTCTACATTCTGGCAGCTGGAATTCGGGACGAGTCCCACTTTCCCTAAGCTAGTGCTCTTTCCATGTCACAGATCAGATTGGTACAGGATGAAGAAAAAACTATGGGCCTCTTGTCCTCGTTGCTACTGCATATTTTTGTCACTGCCAAAGAGAGCTCTGGGGACAACTGAAGGTTGCCTGCCTAACATCTGTTCTCTCCTTTTTTCTAGTGAAAGTGATTTTATACAGTTACCCCTCCTCCATACAGCCACATCCCTAAAGGGAATGGCCTGATTGACTTCCCACCATAACTAATCCAGGAAGGGGCCTGGGTCCCAAATCTGGCAAATGAGACCTGAGGGAAGTGTGCTGGGGCCCTTGGGTGAAGCGTTCGGAGGAGCTTAAAGGAAAGCTACAGAACGGTGAGAGCCTCTTCTCCCCACACCCCACTTCCATCTGACACATCAGATGTGATGCTGGGAACTTCTGTGGCGGCTTCCAGCACCAAGATGATGCTAATCATGAAGACACCAGCTTCCGAGGACATAGAAGGACCCAAGTTCTTTCTTGGCAACATTAAGTTTCTTAACCAATGTAGTGTGAAGTCTAATTTTTATGCATTATTGTTAAGACATTTTGAGTTCACAGCTTTCTGTTCCTTGTTACCCCAAGGCTCCTTCAAGGTGGTGATATTTTGCTTTAAATAAACAGAGAAAAAACCCAGACTATTTACACAGCAAAATGCTAACACTTGTTAACTTGAAGGGGTAAATATATGAGATTCACTAGTTTACTCTCCCTCTTTGTTTACATTTGGAATTTTTTTTTTGTATTTAAATGCAGGCAAACTAAAAATCCCAATCCCAAGCACTTATTTGCAAGATGGAGTTAGAGAGGAGGAGTCATAAAAATCATTCTAACCAAACTTCCCTTAAACCCTAAGGTTTAAGGTTTGCAGGAAAAGTGCTGTTGGGAAACACTTTGGTTTCTGTGGGGGACACTCAAGAATTAGAGGAGGACTGTATCTCTGCATACCTTATCACTTTCCGATGGCCAAATGGTCATTGACAAGAAGCGGACAGCTACAACGGGCAATAAACACACTGCAACAGTCAAGATGATGGTCAACCAAATGTACGGCTGCCTCAGGGCATTGGAAGCGGTGCCTGGAAAGAACAGGGGAGTAAGTCACATGGTCCCTTATCCTAAGGGCCTAGTTCATATTCTGTAACCTCACATTGATTATCCATGGTAAAGTTTTACAACCAGATTGGCTTCCTCCAAACAGCAATAATTCACCCTTTGTGTATTTTTTAATATACCCAGAAGTTACGTCCAAATATAAATAATGACATTTGTCTGCTCATTTATTTTTGGGATTTAGAAAACACTAACCTGTAAATTGAAATGCAGATGGCAAAAGAACATGTATCCCAGCGCTGTGAAAGTCAAACATGATGCCAAAATAAAGTGCTATGCTTCCAAAAATTGAAAAAGCATTCACAAAAGTCCAGTAAGAAGTATCCAAACCAATCTGTTGGGAAATGAGAGGAAAACAGAGCACTCATTTGGGGAATTAGCAAGAAAGGAAAGAACTAGGAATTCTGAAAATGGAATTTTGTGTTTTAGGCATGATTTGACTTGAATACTGAGCCATCAGAAACCAAACTATCCTTGACTCAGGAATGAAATAGGGTTGGGATAAGGGACAAAAATAGCACTCATTTTATAAAGTGGTAGAGGTTCAATTGGAGGGAGAATGGGCTGTGCACGCCAGCCTATTTATAAAAATACAGGTGCCAACGGACACAGGTGAGGGAAGCCACACACCTGGAAATTGACCGTTATTATGAGAGCCGAAGCAACAGTGACAGCAAAAGACTGGTAGTCTGAAGGTGCCTCTCCATCTTGTCCCACAGTTTGCAGATAAGCTCCAAGAGGAATGAAGAAGAGGACCATGGATGTTAAGATTCCATGTAACAAGCTGATGAAGAATTTCTTGTAGTTGAATAGTAAGTCTCTTTGTCCCACCACGTACAACCCAGGGAATCGGAGGCTTAGTTTGTCACTCACATCCTTAAGGAGAAAACAAAATTAGAGTGATATATTGTCCATCAGGTCAAGAAGTCAGAGATATGCTGCAATCTGTATCTCATAAAGAATTGTGACTTGCTGTTGAGTTCTAAGAAGATAAACTGAGTGGAATAAATCCTACAATATTTCTCTTGTGCTGAGATCAATCATAGCTTTAATCCACCATTATTTAATAAATATTTAATATTTAATTTAGAGAGGGACTAGGTAGGACATTATTATTTTTCTGCTTATGGAAAATGTTAAAAATGTAAGGAGAATTTTTTTCTTACTTCCTTAGAGAATATATTTATATTCTCTCTCTCTCTCTCTCCCTCTCTCTCTCTCTTTTCTTTTGTGGGATGAACCCAGGGACTTGTGCATGTGAGGCAAGCACTCTACTAACTCTACCATCTGAGCTATATTGCCAGCCCCTTTAGAGAATATATTTATATTGCTTTGAATTCTTTGGGAAAAAATATTCCCATACAAGTTGGTAAATTAATTTTTAATTATTACCTTTTATTTATTGAGGCACCTTCTCTAAGAATTGCTACTAAATAAAATACAGACTAATTTGGGAATTAGACACATAAATTTTGGAAAGTGTTAAAATTTATTTTTAAAATGAGAACATTACTAATATAGAGATAGACTAGACTCTCAGGTGTCTAAACAGTCAGGTCTCAGTGTCTGAAAGGAACATGTAAGCACTGCCAATGAATTCAAGTCACAAAAATCTTCCTTTTTTTTTTTTTTTTTTATTATGAAACAAGAAGTACAGCAGTTGTTGCCTGACAGCAAACGGTCCTAGGGTTTATTCAGGACAAAGTGAAAACCAGAAGAATGCACTCAAGTGTTTGCTGTGACCTCTCTAGCAGGAGTTCTACCCAGAGCTCCCCCAGCCCTTGGCTCCTACCTGGTCGAGCAGCCCCATGAGGAGCACTGGCAGGCTGGAGTACAGCACGTTGTACAGTGTGATGAACCAGTCCTCGTACGCGGTCTATGGGAGGATTAATTAATTACAACACTTTGTGAAACCAGTTTAGAAGCACACAAGTACTATTTAAATTTTGGTTTCCTTTTATTTTGCAAGGCCAGATTTCTATAAAACGATTTTATAAAATAGAATATGCTGGAGATATATGTAAAAATAAAATAGGCTTCTGAAAGGGATAAAGAACACTGAGCACTCTGGTTCCTTACATGGGATACAGGAAACAGGCTTACTCCTGACAAGAGTTCTATGCAGTTCTGCCTGGAAACAGGAAGTAGGCCCCACTGTGCCAGGCTCTCCTGTTGCTCAATCTGAGACCCCTCTGACACCACAGCAATGTGGCATAGCATCAGAGAAAGTTCAACACTATGGGCACTGACTCAGGTTCATTTTTACTCATGTATTTTTCTGCTACATCACCATTTTAACATATTAAATATGTGCCCCTCTCATTCATCAAAAACTAAGAAAGAAAAAAAAAAGCCACCACCACCATCAAATAGAGGAGTGATGTTAATAGCGCTATCATTACCTACAATTTCTATATCCCTTTGCCTTGGTCAAATAGAATTTTACACATTCACAGCTGAACAATCTGCGATCAGTATTTTTAATAACAAGGTAACATGAAAAATAATTTAAAATGAAGAGAAATATAAGCAAATCCTGTATCATCATCCAAAGTAAATAAAAATATTTTTAAAGCACCAGAAACATTCTAGAAAAGTTATACTCTTAATTATGCTCCCAACTGTGAGAAGACATAGAACTCAAATTACAAAATAAAGAAACAAATTTATGCCCGTTGTGGTGGTGCACACTTGTAATCCCAGTGACTCAGGAAGCTCACAGCTATGGGATAGATGTTAGCCTCAGCAGTTCAGTGAGGCCCTAAGCAACTTAGGGAGACCCTGTGTCAAAATAAGAAACAAAAAGGTCTGGGGATGTGACTCAGTGGTTATGTGCTCCTGGGTTCAATCCCCAGTACCAAAATAAATAAATAAATAAATAAATAAATAAATAAATAAATAAATAAATAAATGTTTTTGTAGAACTAGAGTTTTATTCACTTAAGAGAAAAGCTCTACTAAATAAAAAGTAATGAAAAAAAATGTTATTTTACCTGTGCTGAGTAGCCATTGAAGAAGGAGTACCAGAAATGAACCAAAGTAAATGCAAAGTTTTTATAAAAGAAATATCGAAGGAACTTGCACATCCTTATGTAAGACCACCGGCCATGCACCAGCAACAGCCTCTGCAGATATCTGAACTGAGCAAAGGAATAGTCACTGGACATGACGGCTTGCATTCCTTCTTGTCCACTTATTCCAACACCAATATGCGCAGCTATATGACAGAAGGAGAAAATACTGAGGATCATAAGCTGATTTTAAAGCAAAACATCAGATAATAAAAATGTTTCCATAGCAGGACCAGGAATGTAGCTCAGTGGTGGGGTGTTTACCTCGAATGCACGAGGCCCTGTGTTCAATCCCTAGCACCATGGGGTGGGGAGGAAAGTTTCCACAGTAAAACAAATAACAAAGATGTACAATTCATGGAACAATACGTACAAAAGCTCTTGCTCCCCCATCTTCACCATCCAGCCCGTGAACCCAACTCAGAGGCACATGTTGCTTAACAAAGCATGATAGAGCCTCCATAAATATTTGTGAAAGGATTGGGTGGGTGGTGAATTCCATTTGGATTATCTGCCCAATTTAGAAGCCATCCCTCCCACCCACAGGGTGAGCCCCAGGCATCCACTATACAGTCTATGTCCCTGTCTCCTTGACCATATCTGGGTCAGCCACCAGCAGATATATCATCTGGACAGAGACTACAAATGGGCTTTCTCAATCTGCTTTCTATCCCATTCTAATTGGTGAGGTAGGAAAGCAAATTAAAAAGCCCTATATTTCCCGGATTGCCTCACACCTAGGTTCTTGTGAATCAGTTTCCATTGCTTAGACCCACTTGTGACTTTAAAGCAAAGTGAACCCCTTCCCTTTTTGAACTCTGGAGCAGAGTTCATATCCATTCCCCAGCTGTCCTAATGTTGATAGGCAACTGCAAAGGCTTTTTAACTGGGAAGCTGTTCAGAGCAATATTAAAGGTAAAAACTCCTCTGGGAAAGTGGCCGGGAGGTCAGAGACTCAGCCTGGAACTTGCTTCTCCAGTTCATCCACAGCTTTTGAAGGCACCTAGTCTGCTACATTAATTGGTTCCTACAAAAAGTACACACGGGTGTGTTTCCTCTACTAAATCCTAACTGGTAGAAAGCCCAAGCTGGGCAAATCAGTCTCTTTCTTGATATTCTAGAACTACCATTCTGGAGTTTGTATCTGGAAATTTAACATGTAAACTATTGAAGTGAGAAATGAATATATTTCTTTCTGAAGGATTCTGAGAGGCAGAGGAATAAAACAGGGAAGGAATATAGACAGAGGCAGTTAGACAGACAAGACACTGGGTTCCTAGTGCAACTCTAGGTCCTTGTCCTAACATCTTCCTTAGGCCTGCTTTTTTGGGGCAGTGTGAGATATCTTAGTTATCTTTTTAAATTAATTAATAATTGTTTCTCTTAAACTCATTTTGGCTGTCTTCCAATACTTGTAATCAAAAGAGTTTTAACTAAGACCCTCTTCAACTCTGAAAGGCTTATTCAGGGCCCATTATGACCTAAGGACATCATTTCTTACAAGGGGGTAGGTTTCTAAAGTGGATAAAAATTAAAAGTCATAATTTTGTTCATCCTTCCAAAAATCATTAAAAAACATTTTTGAGTTAAAAGAATTGTGAATTTTATTAGTTTTAAAAGTCATGAATGTAAAGAACAATAGTGAGATCATTTGGAGAAAATGTGTTGGAGAACACAACGACCCTGGCTCGGACCCTGAGAAGTGACTGCCAACTCCGCAGAGTTGCCAACTAGAAAGAAGCTTCAAAAACCCCACCCTAATTGCAGAACACAAGGTCTGGAAAATTCAAAATAATTGTCCAAACCTATGTTTTCAATTATACTTTGCAATTCTCAAAGAAGATATTATATCTCATTTGGCATTTATGATCTCTTTCAAAACACATACACACACATATTTCTTATGACCAGTTGTGACTGCCAAATGCTCTTTCCACCAAACTATGATCCTTTTTCCTTTCATGAACAAACCACAGAGGGAGTACAGAGGAGAGGAACCCTGTCCAGGCCTTGGAACCCAATTCTTCAACCTTTTCACTGTGCAGACCAAGGACAGCATGTGAAATGAACACTGGCATGGTTCACACGGTAACAGGAGGCAACTGAGCAGACGCACTATAAGGCAAAACTGGCCCTTCCCCCAAAACATAAGTATAAGATTTTCCTGAAGTTCCAAATGGAGTGTGAAATTCTTCGCTGGGAGGCATGCCTTCAACATTGCCCAACAAACTGAATATTAAAAGGCTTTATTTAATCTCTCTGCCTTCATTTCATCTCTCCTGTAGTTCATGTGTACTCTCGGGGTCTTTGCCCCCAAAGAGTCAACCACAACCTAGCTGGTATAAGATATCTTCAGGCACAAAACAGGAAGAGGGCAGCCTCTGAGAGTCTATAGACACTTTCTAGGGAAAAAACGTGGTGGTCAGCAGGGCACTGTGGCACACACCTGTAATACCAGCGGTTCAGCAGGCTGAGAAGTTCAAAGTCAGCCTCGCAACTTAGTGAGGCCTTAAGCAACTTAGCAAGACCCTGTCTTAAAATTAAAATAAATAAATAAACAAAAGGGGCTGGGGATGTGGCTCAATACTTAAGCACCACTGGGTTCCAATCCCTGTTGTCAAAAAAAAAAAAAAAAAAGAAAAAAGAAAGAAAGAAAAGTGTTGTTCATGATTCCCTCCATTTCTACTAGACTATACTGCAAAACATGAAGCATGTTAGCTAGTGGTCAGATTGTTTTCAACACCTGAATTTCCCTCCTTTTATGACCAACAATTTCTTCCTGTATATTGTTCTCAAAATTGTTAGAGATGGCAGCCTTTACAGAGTACAAAAAGGCACCAATACTATTTTGATAACTTCTAAGACCTCAGCTTCCCATAATCTCATCCCAAATACGTGATCTGTAATTTATATATAAAAGCACCTAATATACAACAGAGCTTAATTAAAAATGTAAAACAACTTAAGAAAAAGAGTTCATCTTGGTTGACTTTGTTCTACCTCCTCGGTATCAAATGGTTGACTCAGAGGAAAAAAACCCTCCAGCTTGAATGGTATAATAGCATGATAAATCTGCAAGGCAAACGATCCCCTGTCTCTTTCCTCCCCAACATCTAAGAGTCTGCATTAAATTGAATAAAAATAATGTTTGAGTTACCCTAGTTACGTCAAGGATGTATAATGGAAAATAAACTGGAGCTGGCTACAGAAGAAAGAAATAGATTTAATTCAGAACAAAGAATGCCACTCATATGATAGGACAAGCACATGCAAAAAGCAGTGGAGAGGAACTAAGCAGCTGGTGGCAGCAGATATATGCATTGATAAAAAAGCAAGAAGACATACGTCATATAGATGACTCCTGGGGAAGAAGATAAAGTCGGAATATTCTTAGTATCTATCAAGGAGAAGAAGGAGGAGGAGGAGAAAACTGTAAGAAAAGAAAAAGATGGCCTCATGAGTCACAACATAGCTCAATTAAGATCTAGTTATATATAATGCATTTAAAATACCCAGCACAACAAGACATGCTTATATATGTACAGTCATATAATAGTTCACCTTAATAACAACAAGAATAATAATATCACAAAGCTAGAGGTGACATTGGAGATATGTTTCTTGTTTTCAGATGAAAAGACAGGCCTGATCATAAGCCCAAATGCTAAGGTCTCATTAGTTTGGGTATTTTCATTACATGATATAAACTGAGCATCCCCAGTTGCAAAATCCCAAATGCCCCAGTATCTCCCAAGTTTTTGAACAGCGTTTAAAGAGTCAGGTCTATGCAAATTTTCCCAAATTGAAAATTTCTAAAATCTGAAACATTTCTGGTCCCAGGCACTACACATAAGGGTTATTCTACCTGTCTTCTCTTATAGTGCTACAGGGAGAGAAGAGGACCAGACTCAGACATGGGCTTAGGGCCACAGGTTTGTTGTGCATGCTTTACTACCAGCACAACACTATTTCTCCACACTAGAACTCAGTCCATTAGCGGCAAGTACCGAGGGTCTTCCATCCAGTAAAGTGACCCAGGGTGGTCTTCTGGGAGGTCAGGCATGATGGTGAGACCATGCTGGAGTTTTATTTCAAAGTTAAACATGTTACTTCAGACTTCTATGAGGTGACCCAATGGTAAAGTTCCAATAAATTTGCCAAAGGTAAGAAGAAAGCCCTCGAGAAATGCTCAGATGAGAGAGAATAATATTCCCAAAATGAATACCAGAGAGAGTTCACCAGTTTATGCTGAGCTTAGCAGAACTATTTGCAAAACTTATTAAATATCAGGGTTTTAAATAAGCTTAAAGAAATAAAGGAGAAGATCTGGCAAGAGGGGAAAAAATCACACCAAACAGGAAAAAGTAGGAAACAAATAATGATAAATTCACCCTGGAGAACTCATCTTCTGCTGGGCATCCTAAGTCCCTCTGAGAGTCCTGCCTCCTGGATAGTCTGTTGGCTTCCCCAGGGCAAGGGCATGGGCACAGGCGTGACCCAGTGCCTTTCTTAAACACCAGCTTTATGAAAACTTCCACAATGACAGCTGAAGAAATGACCCCCCACCCCCAAAACCCTCCTGCTATTTCTAGTTGGGTTTTATGGGCCACCTGGGCGCAACTCACTCTTGATCATGTTCACGTCGTTGGCTCCATCTCCAATGGCCAGTGTGATGGCCTTCTTGTACCTTTTCACCAGGTCCACCACCATGGCCTTCTGCTTGGGAGTGACGCGGCAGCAGATGACAGCGCTGCACTCGCAGGCCAGGTCCACAAAGTTCCTCTGCCGCTGCTCTTTCTTAACTTCGAGCCTTCTCTTGCTTTGGGTTCGAATCCGTCTCTCTTCTTTTGTCCTTGGGAACTTCAGCTTCAGAATCTTATTTCTTTTGGTCTTTTTCTCTAGAAGAATCTCATTCTGCGAAATCATGGAGAGGATTGAGGTCACTTTAGTTTTTACACCAAAGGTATCATCATTTCCAAGACTTAAGTTGCGTGAAGGAGAGTTTGTGGATTATATCATTGGTTATATTGTTCTGATGACAGAACATTTATGACATAAATCTAGAGAATACAAAAATCTATAAATAACAAAATGAAAATTACTCATTAATTAATAAACCAAGACAACCACTGTTACCTATTTGGTATAATTGCTTTCATATGTCCTGTAATATTAAGCTTCAAACTTGGGAAATCACACCTGAATTTATAGGCTAAGAGATTTTTAAGTTGGCAATTAACAAATATGTAACACCATCTAAAATTGGTCCAAAGTGAACTTTTTTTCATTTGAGCCAAAGACCCAGACACACTAATGGTACCTACCAGCCAAGAACCGGTGATGACTAAAGCACGGTTTTCACCAGGTGGGAAAAAAGGTTCGTACACAACAGGTGCAAATTTTGCATAAACTCCACCTCTGTTTCTCTGGTTTTCCACCCTTGTATGAAGAAGAGAACTGGAGAAAAATAAATTGAAGTACTTAAAGTACAAAACCATAAACAGGCCCTACACTATTAGATAATTTTGACATTTTTTTTTAGAAAGAGAGAGAGAGAGAGAGAGAGAGAGAGAATTTTTTAATATTTATTTTCTAGTTTTCGGCGGACACAACATCTTTGTATGTGGTGCTGAGGATTGAACCTGGGCCGCACACATGCCAGGCGAGCACGCTACCGCTTGAGCCACATCCCCAGCCCCAATTTTGACATATTTAAAAAAAAATTCTGATAAAGACAACTTAAGACTTATCATTTTATCTATTTTTAAGTGAAATCATATAGTATTTATCATTTAGTGACTGGCTTATTACATTTAATAACGTCTTCAAGATTCATCTATATTATAATGTATGTCATAATTTTTTTTTCCTTTTTAAGGACAAATAATATTCCATTTTTTATTCAACCATTCTTAACACTGACAGACACCTGGGTTGCTTGACTCTTGTGAATAGTGCTGTAATAAATATGTGTATGCATATATCTCTTCAAGACCCTGCTTTCAATTTTTTAAAATGTTTTTTTTAGTTTGAGTATATTACTCAGAAGTGAGATTACTGGATCACATGGTAACTCTATTTCTAATTTTTTTAAGGAATCCCTATACCAGTTTTCATAATGACTACGTCATTTTACATTCCCACCAGCAGTAGATAAATGTTCCAGTTTCTGCACAGCCTCACCAACACTTGCTATTTTTTTTTCTTTTTTGATTGTCCCCATCCTAATAAAAATGAGACGGTATCACTGGTTTTAATTTGAACATTGTTTCACAAGCTTTTCAGCCGTTAGCATATCTTCCTTGGAGGAATGTCTTCTAAAAATTCTTTGATCCTTTCTTAATTGGGTGACATATAATCTTATACTATGTGGCACCAAGTTCTTGGTACTTCATAATTTGCCAAAAGCAACCAAAGGAAGAAACAGGTCACACTGTGTTCATAAGCAACAAAGGGAAGGCAATCTCCATCTAAATCAATACCCTGGCTGCTGTTTGGCAGAGAAAAACTAACTTCCCCGTACAATTATGTCTGCTTTTAAAAATTCTCGATACTTTATATCAACAAATCATTGATAAGATGACATGTAACACTTCTATGTGATAGAAAAATGAGTCATGGGATTTTGGAGGGAAGGGGCCTTCTTGCACAATCTTTTCATGTTGCAAATAAAGAAATCAAGCCAAGAGAGGTGATGTGATTTGTTTGCAGCAAGTTGATGGGAGACTTTCTCCGTTCCTCATGCACACCTCAAAAGCAGGTTTCTCAGACTTGACACTGTTGATGTCTTTAGACAGATAATTCTCTGTTGTATGTGGATGCTTATTTTAGGAAGGACACATGTAGGATGTTTTATAGTATCTCTGGCCTCAACCCACTAGAAGCCAGTAGCACCCCTCCTACCCTGTTGGGACCACCAAAGATGTTTGCAGACATTTCCAAGCAGTCCCTGGAAAGCAAAATAACCCCCACTCCCTGATTAAGAACCATCACACTAGAAGATTAGGTATTTATTATCCCTCTTCCACATTCACTTAATTCTCATTTTCAGTTGGAAAATCAGTTAAAAATCAAGACAAATGATAAAAAAACTGAAAGTGAAGAAAATATGAATTTATTTAAGCTGTTTTATAGGAATCATCATTTCAGGCACCATCTAGAAAGATAATTCATCTCTCTATAAAGGGAAACTTGGCTATAAGCATGATCATAAAATTTATTATTTGCATAAATTTTATCTTTTAATTTAGCTTAGGGTCTACTTTTAAAAGAGAGACCAGAAATTTATTAAAGCCCCCATCTACAAAAAAATAAACAAAACCATATGGTAATTAACCATATTGTTTGCAATTAAAAACTACTTAAGTAAACATATGAAGCATTTATTTGTCCGTTGCTACCTTTTAAAACCTAAAAGCTCAAAGAGGCATGGTTTATGTGCCTCTATTCAAACAGGGCTGATTTAGATTATAAGACTACCAATTTTGTCTAATCTAGCAGAGTGCCTCTCATACTGGAATGACTCACAAAAGCTTTATTATCATCATTAGAAAGAAGACTAATAAGGACTAGCAGCCCAGCAAGTGTATACATTAACAGCTTAATCTGACCTTGTGCCAGCCTGAGACAGGCCCTATAGGATAAAGCTTGAGGAATAAGTGGAACTGTAAAGCCAGCATGGTAACTGTGTACATTATATTTACAGCTCTGTAACAAGACAGGGACTTTTGCATCATATGTTTCCAGGTCTTCTGCAACTCTGATTCAGAGATGACCAATGTTCTAGCATAAGCTAAGGTTTGAAATACCAGGATTGCTTCCTCTAGCTAGACTATAGATGACAATGTAACCCTTCCAAACTTTCCTTCTGGGACAAGGTGGTGTTTTTCTTTTTCTTTTTTTTTTTCCCCTCTCATTTCACTTTCAAAAAATAAAATCCCTCCAACAGACAAAACATAAGTCATATTTATTTGCTAATGATACCATAGGCTCAGTTCCCTTCTTCAGCAGACAAAAAAGCACCAAGGGCTCTAAGGAATGGAGGAAGTGGCCTCGAAAGGTTTCCTTAAAACTAAAATGTGATCAAAATAAGACTGCACCATGATAGCTGGGAACTGCCCGATGTTCTCTTGCTTCATTTAAGCAGGAGGAGAGACTGTCTCAGGTAACATACCCCCACCCCTATTTCTCCATCTGTGCTGCCTCTGCCACTAGTGTTGCCTTTGTGAAATGAGCAGCTGCATGATCTCATGCCACAGGCCCTTTACTTACTTTATATCTTCCCCATAGCAGATAGTGGTGTCTTCTGTCAGAAGTTCACAAGCAAATCCTATGTTTTCTGCAGTTTCTACAACAGATAAAATCAAGTCCAATGTCATTCCTATTGTTGAGTTAAATAATTTCCATCTACTGCAGGTTGAGCATCTACTATTTGAAAAGCTCAGGACCAGAAGTATTTTAGATTTTTGAATTTTTTGTTCTTTTTTTATTTTGGAACACACACACACACACGCACACGGAGATGCTGTGATGATGAGACACAAATATAATTATGAAATTTATTTTACATATTCCTTATATCCAAAGGCTGAATAGATTGAAGGTAATTTTGTTTTGTTTTGTTTTTGTTTTGCAGTACTGGGGATCAAACCCAGAGCCACTTACATACTAGGCAAGTGCTCTATGACTAGCTATATCCCCAATCCCTGAAGGTAATTTTATAGTTATTTTTAGTACAGGTGCATTTTGACTGTGACTTGTCACATGAGATCCTAAGTGTGGAATTTTCCACTTGCGGTATCATGTCAGCACCCCCAAATGTTTCAGATTTTGAGCATTCTGGATCTCAGATTAGGGATACTCAACCTACAATGGTAATTTCCTTCAATTCATGAACATGATCAGATTCAATCAAATACACTATTTTCTATAGCAGTGCATAGAACTCTTATAAATAAGTCAATTCCTTTCCCTATAATAAGTGAAAGTCAAAGTCTGGTTTGAGATGTTTTTAATAATAAATTGCTATATTATCAACTATTTAAATTGATTATTTAATAAATGAATGTTCATTAAAATACTGACATGCTCTGAACATGTTGTTATGTTATAAGGGGAAGGATAATGTTTCCTCAGTCCTCACATGGGGTGCCTACTAATGACACGTTCCCCCCCCTTTTTTTCCATAACCACCCATTTGGTAGTTATTAAAGTCCAGGGCTGTGCTTTCAGACTGTGTAGCCTATTGATGATGGCAGAGAAACAGACATTATCCAGTTTCCTGTGAGAGGCTTGCAGAACAAAGTATGGATATCAAACAGCAACTTATTGAGCTCTAAATTTAAGAATTAAAAACTTTGCTCAGGTATAAAATTTTAACTGTAATTTCCAAGCCATAAAAGGAGCAAGATAACAAGAGTTGATGTCATTCAGCACTTTGTGTTCTTCTCTACGCCCCCAAATGGCAAAGCACTAGGAAGACAGAAGGGATCATCTTTCAGGATAGGAGTGCACATCTGGCCGAAGAGATAAAGACAACCAGCAGGATGCAATTGGGAGCTAAATCATAAGGAATAGATTCTGCTTTAGAGGGAGTTCAGAGAAGGACATAATCAGGGAGGGATGGGATAAGAGGAGGGTTTTAAGAGAAAATCTCTCCCTTCCAAAGAAATAGCTGGTGTCCCTACAGGATGGAAAGTCGGGGGCAAAGGAAACAGCAGTTTTAAATATTTGTGAATTAATAGATACACTTCCCCACATAAATGAGTTACCCTTTTTGTCTCCAGTGAGCACCCAGATTTTAATGTCAGCTTTTGCAAGTTTTGATATGGTTTCTGGGACCCCATCCTGCAGTTTATCTTCAATAGCTGTAGCTCCCAATAGCTGGAATGTACATTTGAAAAGAAGGAATTAGAAAATAAACCAAAAACTGTCTGTAGTTATAGTTCGCCAGCCTCTAAAGAGAAGGGCTAATTATGTACCCCAATTGGTGTTCTACCACAGCCAGTGGCCAGCATGGCAGGGAAGGCTACCACCATGCTTCACACTTACTGCAAAGCAAAACAACCAAATATTTTTTTTTCTTGGAGAATGAACTAATTAATTAGCTGAGACAAAAAAAAAAAATGCAAGTACAAAATCAGACATTAAAACCACACTATTATTGTGTACTTGCTGCTTTATAGATATGAGCCCATCCCTCTGGCCAAAGGGAAATACTGGCTATTGAACATTTTTCCATTAATCTAAACTCTACAGGCAATAAGAACTAAATTTTCAAAAATTTCATTTAGAAATGGTGGGGGTTTTTTTGTTTCAATATTTTTCAAAACATAAATTGTTTCAGTAATTTTCACAAATAAATAAGTGCTGGTTTGACATCCTATAAAATCATAATGCATTTTAATAAGTGATATAAAAATCATGGAATTAGATTAACTCAGAACATTTCTCTATAGGTTCTTCTCTTTTGGTTTCTAAAATGACAATGTCTATTCTGTTATCAGAACAGAAGAAATTCAAATGACCTACTTTCTTTGTTCCAATTTCATTTGCTGGAGTTAGAATAATCTTTCAAGCATGAGATCAAAATGTAATAAAACTTAATAAAAATTTTGCTTTGTTTAGAATATCAAGGAAAACATTATTAAGGTTAAAACTCACAATTAAGTCTCTTTCAATCTCCTCATATACTTTATCCAAAGCTTCATCTCGGTTGGTTGAGGCCACGCTGGCTGCCATAAACTTTTTATTCCATTCTGCAAATTCTTTTTCTTCAATTTCTTTGTAGCAAAGGCACAGGGTTCTAAGAGTTTCATTCGCAAAGATCTGTTTTATTTAAAAGACAATCCACCGATGCAAGAATATTTAATTTTATGTAGTTCAAGGTCAAGTTTGAACTCTTACTTTGAAGTAATGTACTAAGAGAATTTTAAAAGAGACTATGAAATGTGAAGGATTCTATAGAGGAATTAAACTTTGTGTTATAATAGACTTTGTTTTTTTGTAAGCATCACCAGGGTTCCAGGACTATATTTCTACTTCCCAAATTGGTTAAAGTGAAAAGTATACCTTTCTTCTAAATTAAGTCACTAGAGTTAAAAAAAAAAAAAAAAAACAAACTTTTTTTAATGACTAAAAATAACAGACAAAAGGTGTAATGATGTTGTAAATACAGACCCAATAATTTTATAACTTGTTCCCACAAACTCTGTTATAAGTCCAATCAACTATGAACTTGCAACCAAACACTAATCCTCACACCAATTCTAAAATCCATGAGCCATTGTTAAATCTGAGATCAAACATTTTAATGAAAAAGAGTATTTGGAAATTTGAACAGATTTAAGCCACTTTTAAATAACTTTAATACGAACCAGTAAAAATCTTTTATTATTTCATTGTTACTTCTTATCTAGCCAAGATGTCAGAACTGGCCCAAGCGAGTATTCACTTTTCAGAGTTTTTTGTTTGAAAGGTTCTATATTTGGTTGATTAGATTGACACTGTCACATTCTCATGAGAATTCATCCATTTTAATTGCATTAGCATCAGCATCAGTACCTAATCTGAAAACGTGACCCCACTTGGTAAACAACAGGTTTATTAAGCTTCTCTCTGAACACCTTTGGCGGGCTCTGAGCCTCAACTGATGGTTAGAAGGAAGAAACCACCCTTTATTAAGTACCTCCTAAGTGCTGGGAATTGAGCGAGATGCTTTCTTTTACAATGACCTGCCGTGGTTGGAATTATTTCCTTCCTCTTTCACATGGGAGATTAACGATGCAGATGATATGATAAGTATTCTTTTTCCCCACACAAAACTACTAAAGAGACTGAACTGGGACACGAGTTCTCGCTGATCTCCAACCTCACTGCCATCAGCATGCAGAACCAAAACCATTTGAGGATGGGTGGGCAATTCCCAAAGTGCAAGTTCAAAACCATTCTAGTGGTGACAATACCAATGGACTGTGCCCACAGCTTCCTAAGATAAGGACTTTGAAGTAATTAAGACCAAACTATTTTGTGAACAAAGGCGTCAAACTCAATGATTCAGTGGGGGTGGGGTGTGTGTGTGTGCACACCCGGACTCTCAGCTTCCTGGGAGGCTGAGGCAGGAGGACAGCAAGTTTCAGGCCAGCCTTAGTGAGCAAGACCTTGACTCAAAATTTAAAAAATAAAAAGGACTGGGGATGTAACTCAGTGGTAGAGTGCTTCCTATCATGTGTGAGCCTGGGTTTGATCCCCTGCACTGCAAAAACAACAAACACCATGATCCAGCGCACTGCTTTCTTAACCTCTGCCAAACAGGAATGCCTCGGTTCCTTCCCCTGTACCTAGAAGAGGGTAGAGCTCTAGGAAGCCACAGAGATGGTAAGGTTACAGCTTAGCATAGCTGTAGCTGGCTCAGGATAACTGGAAGAGAGACTAGCCATTCCTGTGGGAGACCAACCTCGCACATGACTGAGTTAACTCCCCTGCTGGGCGATGTGGCGTCAGGCACCCATGCTGCTAGACTGCCCCACTCTTCTAGGGTTCGAGTGACTGTGTCTTTGTGCCCCGGCTGTTTCTTGCTACAGCCCCATGGGTGAAGCTATGCTCACCTGTTCCTTTGTAATATTACCCCTTGCCCGGTTTAGGATAGAATGTTCCATGGAAGTGCCTTGAGTGTGTCCCCTTCTCTTACTGTGCCCTTGGGTGTGGCCTACATAGATGTCAGTCAACCTGCTGATAGTGGACATCATGAACATAGACTTAGCCCCCTGAAACCTGACCCCTTGCCTCATTTGAATAGCTTCTCTTCAATAAAAGGGATCCGCGGGTGTTCTCTCTCTCTCTCTCTCTCTCTCTCTCTCTCTCTCTCTCTTCCTGCAGACCCTTAAGGATAGAGGAGCTGTCACAGCGACCCCAAAGAAAAAGGTATTTGTGTCTCTTGTGTGGTTATTTTGCGCAGCCCAGTCAACCCAGTTCAACTGGAGTGACCCCTGAGCCTTTTAGTCATGAACAGAAACCCAGCACATTCCCCTGCATCTGTCCTATAGACCTGGATGCTGGGAAAGGGCTGGCTCCACGGTCATTTCCAAGAACATCACCAGCAAGGGAAGAACTAGAACCCAGGTGGCCACTTTTCTACTTTGGTGATGTTTCCACCCAATAACACCAGAGCCAGGGGAGGGTCAAGAGTTAAGAAACTTAAGAGACAGCATCAGAAACAGAATCTTGCAAGAAGAATGAAAGTGAGACTTACATCCAGGGCATCCTGTGTCTCTTGCTTTGTAGGATTCATTGGATGTAACCGTTCATAAATGACAGTGTCAGCACCTTTACAATACAGCCTGATGTTGCCTTCTGGGGCTCTTACTGGGAGTAAGGGAAGAAAAAACACACAACAAAGTTAAGTTTGATTTCTTCATAGAAAACTACATTGATAAAGTTACTTTGAAGTGTCACTGTGCTCCTAATTCACCCATCTTAAAACAGTCAATGCATCTAGAAGTGCTACCATTAACAAAGTTGGTAAGCCTTTGTCTACATTGAATGTAATAGCAAAATGAATATGAATGTTTCCATATCCTTACTTACTTTTTTTTTTCTTTTTTGATACTGGGGATTGAACTCAGCCACATCCCCAGCCCTATTTTGTATTTTATTTAGAGACAGGGTCTCTAGGTTGGTAAAAAAAAAAAATGTGGCATATATACACAATGGAATATTACTCAGCAATAAAAGAGAATAAAATCATGGCATTTGCAGGTAAGTACATGGCGTTAGAGAAGATAATGCTAAGTGAAGTTAGCTGATCCCAGAAAACCAAATGCTGAATGTTTTCTCTGATATAAGGAGGCTGATTCATAGTGGAGTAGGGAGAGGGAACATGGGAGGAACAGACAAACTCTAGATAGGTCAGAGGGGTGGGAGGGGAAAGGAGGGGGCATGGGGTTAGAAATAATGGTGAAATGTGATGGACATTATTATCCAAAGTACATGTATGAAGACACGAATTGGTGTGAATATACTTTGTATACAACCAGAGATATGAAAAATTGTGCTCTATATGTGTAATAAGAATTGTAATGCATTCTGCTGTCATATATAAATAAAAATTAATTTAAAAAAAGAGACAGGGTCTCAATGAGTTGCTTAGCACCTTGCTGTTACTGAGGCTGGCTTTGAACTTGCAATCCTCCTGCCTCAACCTCTAGAGCCAGTGGGATTACAGGCATGTGCCACCATGCCTGGTGGTATCCTTACTTACTCTTTTAATAAATATTTAGACACTGGTGTGGTGGCACACGACTGTAATTCCAGCTACTGGGTAGGCTCAGGCAGAAGGATCACAAATTGGAGCCCTTACTGGGCAACTTAGTAACAGCCTGTCTCAAAAAATAAAAGGGGCTGGAATGTAGCTCAGTGGTAGAGCACCCCTGGATTTTAAAAAGGTACAGACTGCCTACTATGTACTGTCCTGAACTAACTGCTTTCTTCCACAGGATTTTCTATGTTCATACAAACCAGCAGGAACTTTTCTTACCTATCAACTCATATTACTTACTGCCTCCAATGCTAAGGCCATAACATGACTCCTATGAGTGTTTTCTTATTTTTTTTTAATATGTATGATAATTCAATCAGCTTGAGTGTGATCAATAACTAGACTTTAGGTTCTCCAAGGCAGATGCTAGGCACAATAATCAGTCCAGATCAGTGTCAGGCACTCAGAAAGCAATTAGTAAAATGGGAATTCAGTACACAGGTAAACCTATAGGTTTCTATGGGTTAAACATTCACAGCACAGTGGAGAAGGTTTGTGGACACCACCTTAATCAAATGATCCAAACAGACTTCACCATGAATGAGGCAAACCAACATTACGTGCCTTCTAAAGTGTCACTACCACAATGCCCAACCTGATATAATCCTGAGGGGACAACAGATCAACCAGGCTGAGGGACATTCTACAAAATAACTGGGCAACATATAATAAATGTCAATATATGGAAGATCAAAACAAGGTTGAAGAATTGTTTCTGATTCAGACTCATGATCACCAGATACCATGTGCCACGCTGGATTGAACCCTGGACCAGAAAAAGATCAAGGTGGAAAGAGGGGAGTGAATAGAGAAAGAGGGAGGGATGGAGAGAACCAGAAAAGCCATAAATAAATAAGTTTCCTAGTAAAATTTCCAGAAGTCTGTGTATTAGATGATAATGCTGTATCAGGTTAAATTCTCAGATTTCCATCATTCATACACACGGAGACATACACAGAGAGACAGAGAGAGGCACGGTGGAGGAGGCAGACTCCTGTTCTTAAAAAATACTTATTAACCTATTTGGAGGAAAGAGGCATTGGGTCTGTAACCTATTCTCAAATGATTCAAAGGATACTAATATATAAACAACTGGTGAATATTAAACAGTACACAACAGTCCTTTAAACCATCCTTGAATTTTTTTTCTGTAAATTTGAAATCCTTTCAAATTATTAACTGGAAAAAAAATTAGGAAGCAATCCTCAGCTCCACTTGGTGGCCTGGAGGTGCGATTTTGATTCATTAGCACAGCCTCGCTCAGAAGAGAGGTGTGTAAGCTGCCCACAGCCTGCAGCTGGGCGGGCAGCGGCTCCACCGCCCTTCAGCAGCCGGAGGCCCCTGCGGTGGAGAACAGCCCCAGCCTCTGCCAGGTGCAGATGCACCGTAGCCGCCCCTTGGCACAGTGACGTGGTGAAGTGTAGAGAAACAACACCCCTTTCGGAAAGTCTGTAGGAATCTTCCAGGAGCCAAAATGGTCCTCTCATTACCTGCCTTATCCTGGCGTCACCAAATAAAACGGGCAAAGACGACACTGCGTCCAGCCACTCGCGGTGGACCTACCAATGATAGACATTCGCTTCCGGTCGCTGTTGAAGTCTAAAATGGCAAGAACACTGTAGGTCCTCTCGGTGCCCAGCTCGCTGATGGTGATGGTGTTCTGCGTCCTGGCGAGGAAGGCAAAGCCGAAGTTCCTGGCGGCATTGACCAGGGCGCCCTCGTCGGGAGAAGCCGCCTGGTAGTTGATCTGACCTAACAAGGGAAGGAGAGAAAACCAGAAAAGCTGTAAAACTAAATGCCCCCCACTGAGGTGCCTTTGCACAGCTGAACACATTCCCAAGACACCAGCCCTTGGCTCCCAAGGATCACACCAAAATTAAAACTTGTTAAATTTGGAACTATTGTTTTGAATTATAAGTGGTAATAGAAACCAGAAATAAAACAACTAGCCAAGAAGAGGGGGACATTCCCATAATTCTGCTACCCAGAAGAAAACGCTATCGACATTTTATCATGACATTCAGTCTTTGAAAAACGCCTGTTCCTGGAATAGTTTCTAACATGCTGGGTAGACATTCACAACCTGGTTATTTTAATGTTATATTTAAGCAAGTTGTCATATCTTTAAAGAGTCTTCATAAACAATCTTTTAATGAATGTGAACAGGTTGCCATTTTTCCCTTATTGGCACTTAGTTTTATTTCCAAAAACTTTGGCTCTCAAAAATAACATCGTAAACAGGGCACAGTGGCACATGCTGGTTCCAGAGGCTGAGGCAGGAGGATCACAAATTGAAAGCCAGGCTCAGCAATTTAGTGAGACTCTATCTCTAAATAAACTATTAAAAAGGGGCTGGGAATGTGGCCCAGTGATTAAGTGCCCCTGGGTTCAATCCCTGGTACCAAAAAAAAAAAAAAAATAATAACATTGTAATAACTATTGTGCATGTGTGTGCAAATATTTTCTGTCTCTGTTTTTTTTAAGGACTGGTTCATAGTAGTGAAACCATTGAGTTAAAGAACATTGATTTTTTTTTTCTTCCTTTGGTGGACTGGGGATGAAATCCAGGCCTCATGCCTTCTAGGCAAGTGCTCTGCTTCTGAGCTACACCTCCAGCCCTACATTTATTATTTGAAAGCCCATATTACTAATTTATTTTTCAAGAGGGTCATGCCCATTGATCCCACTTTTAAAAGAGTGTATTTATTTCACCACAGCTATAGTCTCATAAAAAAAAAAAAAACAACTTTGTCCCTCTGATCGGTTTCTTTATTTTTAAGAATTAAATAGTGGGAAACTGCTTTCTATTCACAGGGGACAAGGATACATTTCACAATCCTGGGTAAAAGAAGCCAGACACTAAAGAGCACAGATTCTGCTCACGTAATCTGAAAAACTGACAATGCTAACCCCTGATATTCAAAGTTAGGAGATCATTTTCCTGGAGGGATAATAACTTTAAGGAATACGAAAGGGACTTCTGGGTTGATAGTTTATATATTTTCTTTGTTCTAATTAGTTATACTGTTTTTTAAAATAAGTCTGGGTGCCCATAAAAGGCTATAAGCTGTGGATAGCCATGGGCATGACTCTATACACACATTATACTGCAGTTAAAAAGTTTAAAAAAAATACTTTGCCTACCCAAGATTTTCTATTTTCTTTCCTAATTATTCTGCTTCAAAGCAACATAGCCGGAGGAATTTTTATGGAAAAGAGTATTTAGTTTTCCAACACAGGGTGACCAGATGCATACCATGGGCACATGGGCAGTTCTTCCCACCTCAGTCTGCTTGGCAGGGCAGGCTGCTCCAGGGCGATGACTTAGAACTAAACTGCCCTGCCCATTCTCCTTCCTTCTCAAGCTGCTGCAGATAATTTGTTCTAATTAAGGCATCATTAATCATTTTCCAATTAATAATTAAAGATAGCACTGTAGGCTGTTTATTTGTTCATCTGGAAAGTCATACACCAGAAGTTATAAATGTACTTTCTAAATCCAGCCATTCTACAAACATGCACAAATGCCAGAGGCAAACTATTTACTCAGAGCTAAGCAAGCAGCAGTGAGAACAAAGTGCCTCCCTTCACGGCGCAGAGACACCTTACATAATATTGACAGCAAACTTGCTTCCCACAGAAGCAAGAAACAAAATAATAAAACATGGCAAACTTTCCTTGAGTGAGACAACTCTATCTGGAGCCAACACCTTGATATCTTTATCATTAAATAAAAAAGAAAACCCTTCCATTATGATCTGTAATGGAATCACAGATGGGCTGAATAGGAAGACCCTGTCCAAACTTCAACCTTATGTTTGCAGGAAGAAACCTAGCTAACAAATGCCTTTACCGTACACTTAAGGCAACCAGAGAGACATTCTTCCCTTTTACAGACTAATTTGTGCATCGTGAAATTGATGTTTAAAAAAATGCTAAAATCAGAACTGCCACCTCTTATAAACTCATTATCCTAATCTCCTCACTTCTTCTGGCTAAAAATAGGATCTCAGATCTTCCACTCACCAGCCTTAAAACCTTCAGATGTCTCTTTCCCCACAATCCTCTCATCCCCTTCAAATCATTTACCAAATGTCTCCCATATTTGTGACTTTCTCATCCTGCCCAAGAACCCACCCTAATCCATGCCCTCAGCCTCCCCATGGGCTGTTGTCTCTCTGCTCTAGAATATCACACCCAATGTGAGGCTGAGGCCTCCTAGAGCCAGCTCTCTGCTCACTGATTCAAGACCTCCAGGCAAAGAAGAGGCTCCCAAGCCTTTCCCACTCTGCTCTCATAGGGCCTGTGGGTGAAGGAGTTTCCATTGCCCAAGGTTCCCACCCCAATGCAGACATACACCTTCTGCTGCTATTCAGTCAAGCACTAGCCTAGGGGCTACTATGAAGGGATTTTGCAAATTTAATTTAGGTCCTACTCTGTTGACCCTAAAATAGGAAGATTATCCAAAGGTTCTGAACCTAATTAGGTGAGCCCTTAAAGGGCCAAGGGCTTTGCCTTGTGAGAGAGATTTGAATCCTGAGAGGGTTTCAATGTAAGGCAGAGTCTCTATCACTGGTTTTGAGGATGGGGGACCAATCGACAAGGACTTTTGGCAAGGACTTGAGGGCAACCTCCAGGAGTAGAAAGCAAGCCCATCTGATAGTCTGCAGGGAAATGGGGACCTCAGTCCTGCAACCACAGAGAACTGAATCTTGCCCCCACTACATAAGCTTGGAAGAAGACACTGAGCTCCAGATGAGAACATGGCTCCACCTTGAGTTTAGTGAGATGCTGAGCAGAGAACTTGGTCACAGCCAAGCTCAGACTTCTGACTTACAGAATTGGGAGCTTATAAGCAGGTACTTCAAGCTGCCAGGTTGCCCTAATTGATTCCAGAGTAACAGAAAACTAGGGCAAGGGTCTCCATACATGGCCTCTTAATGTTTTTAACACACAGGCCACACAGACTGCTGAAGTCAGAAGTTTGTGGCCACATATATGAAAGGATTTCCTCCTTCCATTGATGATGTTATATATAATAAAAAAGAACTTAATCTCCATCATTCTTCTGTAACCTCCTGCACCTAGAAATTTAACTTGTCTTCATTCCCAGTGGCTGGATCAAGTGCCCATCATTTATTGACTGAAGGACTCCTCAGGACATACGGGCCTTCACCTTAGCTGTCAGTGTGACAAAGAGCAGCAGAATGTTATGTTGGAAGAGACTTTGGACATCAGCCTCCTTACTGCAACACTGAAGAAGCAGGTGTGCAAGAAGGACCCAAAACTGGGCGGGCTCACCTGGAACACACAGTCCAGGGCTCTGCCAGTAACATCCAAGTGGGAAAAAATAGAAACTGTAAGATTAATGGGTATTGGCCTAAAATGTCCAGTTAGCACTCAAAATGCCACCACCACTCAAAGAAAAGAAGAAGAGTTTTACTAATGAGTCAGAACCTAAGGGAAGCAGGATGCTTAAAATTATATTTCATTCTTATTGTGCAGTAAAATTTGCTTGGCTATTTAAACAGACTTTGACCTCTGTTTTGGCAATTCATGACCTGGCGTCAGCTCTTTCCACCTGTCCCCATTCGCTGCTAACAGGATCCATCCCACTTTGAACTCTCACATCTCACTTTATTATACTATTAAATTCACCTTGGAGAAGGGCCTTTTTGAAACTTGCCGAAAGATATCCTATACGGCTTCTACATATTTAAGTTTTTAGGCCTGTTCCTTTCCTGGAGATTTTATATCAGTTACATATGAAACAAAGATAGGAATTTCACCGAGGGACTTTTATGTACTGCAGTGATTAAAGTAAAACGTAGAGAATGGGGTAAAGTGAATGAAGAGAAGGCAGACTGTGCACCACCATAGATATATCAAAAGAATTCCTTTTGCTCTTTCTACAATGTCCATTTGTATCTAAATAATTTGTTATGTCCATATATGACAAAACAATTTGTTTTCATGATACTGTATGAATATGCTGTTAGCACAGTTGGCACAAACTGGATTTTAAAATGAACTTCAGCCTTGCTTGTTCCCATGCAAATGCACTTTCAAATGAGAAAGAGACCTTAAAGAGACCCAGGCTTTGGCTGATACGTTCAAGCCCAAAACATATCGGAATCCAGGAAGTAAAAACAGATCTCTGAAATCATTTTGTAGAAAAGTCTGTTCAAGTTTAAAATCTACTTGCAATACAGATAAGGCCTGATTTTTACATTGGCAACACACATTAGTAATACAGTAGAAAGAGTTTGATTCTATCCCAATTCAAGAGCCAATCATTACTTTTAATGATAAAGTTTCATTTGCAAAGTGATAAACACATCCAGAGTTACAATTGTGAATCAGATGTAAACTTCAGAGAAATCTTTGTTATTCCATATACCATCTAGTGCCAGGTGCTCAAATATCCACCGTTTGAGTTTACATGCAGACCATTAAACATGCATGGGAAGCAGAGCATGAGTTGTCTGGAAACCAAAAAGCTAGCCTCCAAAGTCTGAGATGCCGAAGAAATACTCACCATCAATTCTTTCCACCATGACCGTGTGACAAACAGCAAGCAAGAAGAAGAACTGCCGGACCTCTGGTTCTTTCCCTGACTGGATTTGCTCGATAAGATAATGGTCATAAAATGCAAGTTTCCCATCAGCAAATGCATTCCAGCTAAAATCAACTTGCTGAAAGAAATTCAGAAGAAAACAAAAAGGCGATTAAAAAAAAATCTGGATTAAAAATTGATACGAACTTTTCTTTGAAGTCAAGTTTTTAATTATGTAAAAATAACATTTTGGATTTTAGCCCATTCCCAGCTTTATTTATTTAGTAATACTGGGAGATTGAACCAAGGAGTGCTGTACCACTGACCTACATCCCCAGCCTGTTTTAAATTTTTTTGAAATTTTGAGATGAGGGCTTATTAATTTGCCCAGGTTGGCCTTGAACTTGCAATTCTCCTGCCTTAGCCTCCCAAGTAGCTGGGAATCCTGATGTGGACCACCATGCCTGGCCTTCTTTATTTTTTATTTTGAGACAGGGTCTTAATAAGTTGCTAAGGCTGGTTTTGAAACTTGCAATCCTCCTGCCTCAGTCCCCAAGTGTATAGGATTAAGGGCATGTGCTGCCATAATCATGTTTGGTGGATTTTAGTACATTCTTGACTTATGTGATAAGAGGTTTACACCTATCTTAAAACCAAAAGCATCCTATGGTGGGTTGAATTTTGTCCCATTAATAGATATGTAGATGTTCCAACTGCTGGTACTTATGAATGAGAACTTATTTGGAAATAGGGTCCCTGCAATGTAACCAAGCTGAGGCCAAGTGAGATTAGGATGGAAGGACAGGTGTCCTATGAGAGAGACAAATCTGTACACAGAGACAGACACACAAGGAGAGCACCATGTGTCAATGGAGGCAGAGATTGGAGGCCTGGGTTTCAAGCCAGGGAACACCAAGAACTGCTGGCAATTACCAGAAGCTAGGAGAAGTGAAAGAAGAACTCTCCCTAGAACTTTCCAAGGAAGTTTGACTCTGCCAACACCTTTATTTGGGCATATGGCCTCCAGAACCATTAGAGAACGAATTTCTGTTATCTTAAGCTTCCCAATTTGGGGTAATTTGTTAAGGCAGCTCTAGAAAACTAATATGCATCCCAGCAGTTCCTCATGCTAAAGGACTCACCTCTATTTTGCTGTGAGTGTGTTGAGAGGCATCTCGATGGTCTCCTGAGAAACAAACAGGACAAAACAAATTAAGTCGCCTTTACTTGTGTCCAGAGCCCCCCCCCCCCAGCCTATTCATGGATGGTTCTGAAGTTAACATAGTTTTCACATTTTTCAAGAGTTGGATAAAAATTAAAAATAAAGAATAGAGACCATATAAGGCCTACAAAGGTTAAAATATATGCTAAGTGACTTTTTGCAGAAATAATTTGCCACCCCCACTAGAGTTTCAAATACTAGTGCCTGTTCCTCTCTGTTCTTTTGGGATTTGAGCCTTGTCCTTTGAAATGCTATACCTGCCACCAGGTTCCTAGTCTTCCTCACTCATATGAAACCACATTCACAATATAAAGTTTTCCATAAGTGGAAAGAATACTCATGTGCTGTGTTTAAAACAAAATACATTGTCTTAAATTATTTAAAAGCATTCTATTTAAATATAGGATTAGCCTTAATGTTGCTTTTAAAGGTAAGACATATTTCAGAAAACTAGAAATCAATTTTACTAAAGTTGTGCTGAAAGACACATAAAACTTAACGTTATAACCCTTTTTAAGTGCACAGTTCAGTGGCATTAAGTACATTTACACTGTTGTGCAACCATCACCACCACATCCATCCAGAAGAGTGCTTACCTTGCATAATTAAAACTGTATCCATTAAACAATAATTTCTTATTACCCTGCCCCCATTCTCTAGTGACCTAGTAAATATTCTACATTGTTCCTATGAATTTGATTACTCTAAGTACCTCATATAAGTGGACTCATATGCCTTTTTGGTTTTGGCTTATTTCATTTAGTATGATGACCTTAGGGTTTATCCACGTTGTGGCATGTATCAGAATTTCCTTCCTTTTAAGGAAACACATAATGTTCCACTATACATGTGTGTGTGTATATATGTATATACACACATATACATATGTATGTACATATATATGCATATGTATGTTGTATATGTAAACACACACATATTATAGATAAACACACACACATTCTGTTTAGCCATTCATCCATCAATGGACACTGGAGTTGCTTCTACCGTTTGGCTATTGTGAATAAAGCTGCTATGAATGTGGGTGCACGAATATCTCTTTGAATCTCTGATTTCACTTTCTTACAATATATACCCAGCAGTGGAATTGTTGGCTATTTCAATGTTTGGTTTTTGAGGGACATGTACCTTTGTGTGTGTGTGTGTGTGTGTGTGTGTGTGTTACTGGGGATTGAACCCAGAGGACCTCCGCTACTGAGCTACATCCCCAGACCTTCTCATTTTGAGACAGAATCTCACTAAGTTGCCCAGACTGGCCTGGACATTGTGATCCTCCTGCTATGGCCTCCAGAGTCGTGGGATTACAGGCTTGTGCCTCTGTGCCTGGCAACGTGTGCCTGTTTCCATCTGCTGACCTCTCCCAGGCGTGTGTTCCCAGCAGTGTCCATTATGCCCCTCTAGCCCTCAGCTGGGGTGCCAGTGCCAGCAGCAATCTGCAGAGGGAGGGCACAAGTGACTCTAGGGTGGCAGGTTCAGCTCCAGGCAGCACCCAGGAAATGAATCTTCTACCATAATTCAACAGCCAACCATTCCTTCTGTTTCAGACCCCAAACACACCCGCGTCTTGTAGATAGAAGCATGTCTCTGAAATCATCTTGTAGACAAGATCATCTGAGCTCGCAGCCCACTTAGGAAATAGCCAAGGTCTGGCTTTCTCCCTCCTTCACACTTGCACTCACCATAGATTTGCCCATTGATGCAGCACTTTTTAAAGGTCATGATGTTCTGCGTGAGTGTCCCTGTCTTATCAGAGAAGATGTACTGGATCTGGCCGAGCTGCTCATTCAGCGTGGTGGTTCTCGCCTTTGCAGGCGTGTCCTTCTCAGAATAGTACATCTGCAGGTCCCAGTTAATAAAGTGACTCTGTCCCAGACGAATCACTTCCACACTAGGAAGACAAAAGATCACTCTGTGTGGAGTTCTGAGCTGTGAGTGGTGGATTTTAGCCTCACTTGTGCACACAGGACTGCTACAGGCTGAATGTTGGTGGCCCCCAGAACCCATATGTCAAAACAATCCCCAACACAATATTGAGGCAGAGCCTCTCATAAGTGATTAGGTTCTAAAAGCAAAGCCCTCGTGAATGGGATTAGTGATCTCATAAAAGAGCTTGCTTGCCTCTTCTGCCCTTTAAGGATGTGGCAAGAAGATGCTCTCTATGACACAGGGTGGGCCTGGGCCTTCACCAGATGCAAAAAGTGCCCACCCTGGATCTTAGACTTCCCAGCCTCCGGAAGTGTGGGCAGTATGTTTCTGTTGTCTACAAGCTACTCAGGTAAAGGCATTCTTTTGCAGCAGCCTGCACAAACTAAGACATCTTCAAAGAGACAAGCCATAGCCAGTGGTGGTGGCGCACATCTGTAATCCCAGTGGCTTGGGGGCCTGAGGCAAGAGGATTGCGAGTTCAATGCCGAGGTGCTAAGCAACTCAGTGAGACCCTGTTTCTAAATAATATACAAAATAGGGCTGGGGATGGGGCTCAGTGGTCAACTGCCCCTGAGTTCAATCCCTGGTACCAAAAAAAGAAAAAGAAAAAAAGAGAGAGAGAGAAGTCATGCGTGGTGATGTGCTCAGCCTCTGAGCTCTCCTGACCGATTGTTTTGTCCTTCAGGTCAGGGTCAAGCTGACTTTAGATGAGTTGTGTTTCCTCAAAGCATCCTGCTCACTATGACTTCCCACTCACTCCTGAGCACATCAGGCCACGGCCATGGAGTGCCATGTTCAAAATGCACAGCTCAGGTGACCTGGACCCCTGTGGATGGTGCCCAGGTGCAGTCATCTTACTGTGTTTCCCCATCATTCCCAGGGACAACTGGGATGGCAGTATTCATTTCTGTCTCCAGTTGTAGGACAAAGAGGACATGGGCCCACTAGATGACAGACTGCTGAGTGCTCTCATATAGGGCAACAGTCTTTTGGCAAATAATTCCTAAATTGTGATCCCTCACTGTGAAGGTGACACTTTTTTCTAAATTTTATTAGGTTATAGAATGTTCAAAAGAAGATATTCAAAAAGAATCATCTCAGTTTTGAAACTAGAGGGGCCCTAGGGCCTAGCTCAGTGGTAGTGCACTTGCATGAATGAGGCTCTGGGTTTGATCCCCGGCACTGTACAAAAACACAAGCGAAACCAAAACACCATAGGAATTAAACACATCTCAGTTAGAAGGAAGCCATTTATATATTCAGCAACAGTTAAGTGAGCAAAGGATCTTTTTATAACAAGTTAAACGACGGAAAAATAACTCTCCCCCTCCCTTTCCTCCTTCCATAAATATGTCCTACTAGGTACCAAAAACCATTCTAGATACAGGGGTTATATCCACAAGCAAAGCAGAAGGAAACCTAGTCTGTTAGCAAGTTATCACCTGCGAAGGCACACAAATGAGAGACCCAGTAAACACGTACTTATTGGGTGCTGAGGGTTCTCTGCACAAAAGCAAAGCAGGGGAAGGGGAGATAGAGAGCAACAGGGAAGAGATGGTTTGGTCATAAGAGGGAGCACTAGGAAAGGCCGGGGGGATGAGGCCTGAAGAAAATGAAAAAGCAGCATTAGGCTATCTAGGGAAGAATGTACCAGGCAGAGATAAGAGAAGGTACAAAGGTCCTGTGGCAGGAAGGGCATCAAGGGTCTGGAGTGGCAGGAGCCAGGGTTAAGGGGCAGGACCAAGGGGTAGGGCTGGAGCACTGAACACCAGATCCCACTGGGCCCTGGGTGTGATCCTGTGGCCTTGATGATTCTATACTAAACGACACCCAAGCTGCCAGGGAGTAGAAGAAAAAACAGAGATACCATCTTGATTTGATTTATGCTTTAAAAGGACCTTGATTTCCAAGAGAAATAAAGAAGTTACATCAGCCAAATTGCATACGGTATTATTTTATAGCTTTGTACAAAATAATCCATATAACAGAGGGCTCTCTTAACAAGGGAGCACTGTCTTAGACTCTTTTAGAGTAGCTGGGACAAAAGCCTGCCCCAGGGCATGATTTCCCATTAAAAGAGCAACAGAAAGAACATGTAATAAAATTAGAAACAAAACAAACGCACATATAATAAAATTAGAATAAAATAAATGCATCTAATTACAGGGGTGTGTGTGAGTCCATTTCCTCCAGGCTATTACTGATTGAAACCAAGAACTGACTCCACTGTCAATCTATTCCAAGGCGTAGCCCCTCTAAAGTCCAACTGGCCAGTGACAATGAATTTGATAGGAAATAAGAGCAAAACAGGAAGACACAGTACCAGACAAGACTGCCACTTGTCAGGGGTACAACCTTGACTTTCTGTTGGGATTGGAATTGACCTTAAGATAAGAAATGGAACCTTGGGAGAGGGTGGAGTAAGGCGGGACACCTTTTCCACCAGGAGGTCTTAGCAGGAAGGTCAGTGGCTTCCACAAGTAAGCATGGGTGTGGCAGATGTCAAGAAGAAGGCTGGGGGTCAGGGGTGGAGGGGGAGTTGTGGCTCAGTGGTAGAGCACTTGCCTAGCATGTGAGAGGCACTGGGTTTGATTCTCAGCACTGCATATAAATAAATGAATAAAATAAAGGTCCATCAACATCTAAAAACAAAAGAAGAAGAAGAAGAAGTCTCCTATAAGAGGGAAGCAAGACTTGTGAAATGGAAAAGCAAGTTTTTCCATGACATTCCAAGTCTCTAACTTTCTCCCAGGCCCTTCTTGAAACCTAGGCTTTGGAACTCACTGAGAAGGAATCTTACCAAGTAAGTGATTGTAGCCTTTGACCTCCACTGTCAGTGGCCTTATCTGTAAGGATAGAAGGTACCTGGCACAGAGTAGGCCCATTCATTTCCTTCCCCCATCTTATCCTCAATTCTGAAATAGAAGTTATTTTTTTACCTATTCCTTTTGACCTTTGAAACTATTATTGCTAGACACAAATGTGCCAAGTTGGAAAAAGATACTACAGTTTTCCCTAAAAGCAAGAGGCCAAGGACAGGACAGCCTCACCTGACATACAGAGAGATGGGTACCATGGTGTTCAGCACGATGATGTAGCCCCAGAAATTCAGGAATCCACGGTAGGAGGGAGTGATGTTTTCTCCATCGTAGAGGTACCAAGAATAATTGCCAACTTGTGCTTCCCAGTAAGCATGGCCGATGGCAAGACCCGCAGAAAGCAGAATGAGAACAATAAAGATCTAGAAGACACAAAAAAGAGAAGATGGATTTCCAACCTGATGCACTTCACAGATGTTAACTAACCGTGTCCACACTGTGTTTAAGATAATTTGGTAGTCTGTAAAAATAATGCACTTAAAAGAGTACCATGAGAATGCTCTGAAAGTCTATTTGATTGTTATGATTGATGAATAAACCTATTCTACCTTACACACTTAAGGATTTCATCCCCAAAATTATCTTTCAAAAGAGAAGGTGGTATTTTATATTGAAATTCTTAGAGATTTTATATTATAGGCATTCTCCCAATTACTCTGACTCTGAATAATAACATGTGGTTTGGGAAAATACCTTGCCCTATCATGAAACACCTTCAAACAATGCTGAATTGGGATACTTACGGAAAATACTGAAGGAAAATTATTAAAAAAAGAAAAGAAAGAAAGGCAGGGCAATGCCACCCGTATTTGGGTAATTATTCCTGAAAGTACAATATTGTAAGGATTATAAACAAGATCAAGAAGCAATACAACAAGAATAATGTTACAGAAACGTTGAGCAAATACTTAAGAGACAAATTAAAAAGTCAACTGTCCTGGTGTGGTTTGCGTATTTGGGAGTGGGGATAAAATTTCCAGGGACAAATTTAAGTTTCTGGGCACAGATTTCAAAAGTGCTATAACTCACAACAACTTGGCTCAGAGGAGAGATGATGGGCTCTGTGGGTGCTCTAGTCATGACCATGATGGCACTGAGGGTGAACGGGCCAAGTTCAAGTTAAATTTACATGACATATGAAAGCAGGGTTAAGGGCAGTTCTTTAAGTCACCATATTACTTTTATATGATTTTAAATAGGTAGATGCAATTACAGAATTCTAATTTTATGAGTCCTGAAGGTTTATGTAAGACTAAGTATTTGAACAACAACTTTATTTAGGAAGTTGGAGAACTGCTTGATATTTGGGGCCACCCTACACAGAGAGAAGAATTAATTCAGCAGGCCTAAGACTGGTCTCCCCAAAAGTGCTGCTTGCAAGGCTGACCCTGAGCTGGCATCTGGGAAGTTAGATTATGGGAGGCTTTCCTGGTCCCTTATTTCTTATTCTCTAATAAAAGTGGCTCCTGCCTAACTGTGCAAACGACACAGTATATGCCGACCACCTGCTTTCCTTTGGAGAGTCTGGAATTTTGGTGCATGCCAGGCAGATGGCACCTACATGCCCAGCCCCATATTAAAAATCCTGGCCAAGAGTGTCTAATGGGCTTCCCTGGAAGACAACATTTCACATTGCTGTCAAACACTGTTACTGTGAGAATTCAGTGTCTCTTGTGTGTGACTCTGCTGGGAGAGGCCCCTCGACAGCTTGTACCTCTGGACTTTGGATCACATGCCTCTTGCCAATCTTGCCTTGCATCCTTTTGCTGTAATAAGGCAGAGCCTTAGTAAAACTATATGCTAAATCCTACAAGTGCTCCCAGTCTGTCATCCAAGGTGGGTGTGGTCTTGAGGACCCTCTCAACACACCTTTTGCCTTGCTTTACAATCGGATTTATATGGTGTATGTTGCACAAAACCAACAACAAGATAAGAGGAAAGCAAACAGTGATCAAATCAAGACTTCAGGACTTATTCAAGACTTCCACTTATTTCCCTAGTTTTTCAACTGGTCTCCCTCCAGCCAAAGGACTCAGGGGAGCCTACCACCAGAACTTCCCTTTCCTGGAGGATTTTCTTGCTAGAAATGTGGCATTTCCAAGAAAGAGGGAAGGCTCTTCCCCTCCACCCTCACTTCCCATTAGGGCGTGGAGTGCCCAAGCGTATTTCTATCCTATTTAAAGAGATTTTCTTGCATTAGAAAAGTAGACAATAAAATTAGAGCAAAAGACAGCAGTATATCCTCTTATCCACTCAAATGGAAAATAAATACCGTGTAAACCATGTAGTTCATCAAGTAATCAATTTTAGTTCTTTTAAATCTGGTTTTCCCACTGTTCTTCATTATCTTAGTGTCAGCACCTAAAAATGGAAAATTCAGTGGGATCAACAATTGGGAAAAATCAATTAACTAGCATGTCAATAAAATTTGTCTTTCTTTGGCTTCAAGGGGAAAAGGACAGAAAAGCAATTTCCTACTTTAAATCTTAATAGTTCATAGCTGATTAATTTTCTAAGAAACTCTGAAAGTACCTGCAAAGATTACCAGTCCATGGCAGACATCAGTATTTCTAATGACACAGCCACGTAATAGAATTTTATCAGCATCCAAAGGAAAACTTCTCTTTCTCCAGAAGAGTGTTCCTGTGAACTTATCTAGTCGGTTATTGGGTTCTTCACATTCAATAAAACCTTAAAAAAAAAGATACGGTTCACATAATCCCATATAAAAGACTTGTTCAACAGACACTCAAATCAAATAAATAACATTTAAAACAAAGTAAGATGCCTTTTGTGTACTAACCATCAAATGTTGCTAAGTTATCTTCTCTTTGGAGATACTGGTCTGTGATTTCCAGCGCCATTTTGAACTTTAAATTGGTTTCTCTAAAGAAAGAAGGAAAAAAAATTAAATGAACATATTTTGGAGTTCAAAAAGGAACATTAAAAAAAATTGCATGAAGTTCCATTAGGCATGCCTGGAAGTAAATTAGCTTGTTTTATCTTTAAACTCTTTTCATCTTGGAACTTTGAGTTTGAATGAGGTTATACCCTGAACTAGAGAAGAATTCCTAATCTGGGAAGTGCTGGTCTCCTTTGTGGTTTGCTATTGTGGCAGTTAGGACATGGCGTGCCCACAGCCTCCTTTTCACTAATTGAACTAGTTAACACCAGCAGGCTCTGATGGACTGTTTTGTAAAAAAATGTAGTTTCTAATATGTTACCCGCACTAAGGTGATTATACAAAACAAACTTGTTATAGAAATTCTACTTAGCCCCTGTCAGCCCATTTTCTAGAATGAATAAATGAAACCTGTGTTTCTGAAAAATATTTTTCTTTGGGAAAGAAGGTAGCAGCCTCACCCCCAAACCTGGTATACCCCATCCCCAGTGCAAGGGAAGGTTAACTGTGTGTGGACACATGGCAGCAGGTGGGGACAGATGCTCTCAAGAGGAAGGCCGAGTTGGACCCTGTGGGCACACCTACAATCCCAGCTACTCAGCAGGTGGAGGCAGGAGGATTGCAAGTTCAAGGCCAGCCTGGGCAACTTAGTAAGACCCTGCCTCAAGATAAGAAGGGTTAAGAACATGTCAGTGGTAGAGTGTTTGCCTAGCATGCGGAAGCCCTGGATTCAATTCCCAGCAACCCACACACACACACACCACACACACACACACACAAAGCAAGGCAGTTTTCTTAGGGAGCACAGCCCTTCACACATTTAACAAACACCCATAGGGGAATCTCCAGCTATTGGGAACCTGACCATTAGGTTTTCTTTCATGTCTTTGTAAAGCTTTAGTGTCTCTCGCTGGTGGGATGATTATTGCTAAGACTGAATGTCAGCCAACTGTTCAACAGAGGAAGGAAAGACCTCATTTCCGATGACATGATTCCAGCTCTCCATAAGTGGCAGGTGCATCTCTAGGGTGTGAAGAGCAAAGGGTGCAGGGAGCAGGGTTCCAACTGCCACTTACTGTGTGACCTTGGGCAGGCTACTTCATCTCTCTGGGCCTCTGTCTCCTCATGGGGAAGGTAGAGGTAATAATAATGCTCTTCTCATAAAGTTATGAAAAAAATCAAATAAGCTAATAGGCAAAGTGCCTGTGATCTCTTAAGCACTTAATAAATGTATTGAGAACCAGTCCAAAACAGAATATCATTCTCTCTGAAGTGATAGCAACTAAGGGAGAATTCGAAATTACCTAATGGCAAAGACTTTAAAAAACCTTTTCCTTTCTCTGAAACAGATAATAACATTCACAGTTACTTCCATTTGTCTGGACACCACAGCAATTCACCAGGGGCCCAGGCACGTAGTCTCCTTGAGAAGTAGGGAAAGGTGGGCAGTCCACTTTATGGGTGGGGAAAAGAGGCCAGTGTACAGGGGACACTATCAGACTGGCAGCAAGTGATAGAGGCAGAGCCAGATGGCAGGGTCCCCTGCCCAGAGTGCACAGATCTGAAAGTAATGACCATGCCCTCAAGGCCGACTCTGAAACAGGCTCATCCAAGACGCACTCACCCATCTAGCTCGGCCGTCTCCACATAGCAGAGGCTGTTGGGCTCAGAGCTGGACAGCAGCAGAATGTCAGCCTGTTCAAAACAAAAGGCAGCTATCACACAGGGTCCCCAAGGTGACCTGATCATGAGCCAGGAGCGGGCAGGGACAAGAGAGAAGGAACTTGCTCACTTACTGGAATAAAGTCATTTTTCTTCAGACGAATGACATCTCCAACTTGAATGTCTTTCCACTTGGTAACTTTAAACCTAAGTGTTAAAAATAATGTCAGCTGTCAGGCTGGGGAAGTGGCTCAGTGGTAGAGCACTTGCCTAGCACGTGCAAGGTCCTGGGTTCGATCCTCAGCTCCATATAAAAATGAATAAATAAAGGTATTGTGTTCAACTATAACTAAAAAATAAATATTTTAAAAAAATAGTGTTAGTTGAACTGGGGAATCACTCAACAGTTGAGCTCTAGGTACCATTCCCAGTTTAAAAAAAAACAGTTAATTGGTTTTCTAAGTTTTAGGCTAGGGACCTGCCATTCTTTATAGATGTCAAAGATTCTGAAAGTTGTGTAAATCACAGGGAAAATGTTGGCTAGAAGTTCACCCTTTGAATGATGTAAGTACTGGAAGTGGTCTTGAGAATCATATTCATCTCTGCCGGAAGCATCGTGATGTGACCGATACATCAAGATATTCTTTCCACCCTGCCTCGTGCAGGGAAGAGTCCATTGGGGGCCATGTCCACACGTGGCTGGGTATACTTGGCGCCCCCTTTGGGTCTTGCTCATGGGCTGCTTCCCCTCCTGTCCTCCCTATTCTAGGTCATCCATCACTTGCTCACTCCCCAGGACAGACACACATGAGTGCTCCTCCATGGGTCACCAAGAATCCTCATGGGGCTTTAAGATTGGCTTCCTCTCCATTGTTTAAATTATCTCCTTAATGGGTATGTACCACTTTTACAATAAATCTAATGAGGATATTGATAAAAATAAACAAATAAATAAAAGTAAAAGATGACTATCTTCAGTAATAAACTCCATAGGAAATCCCCATTTAAATTTCTAACAAGTCAACATTTTAAAAAGTTCCAAACATTTGTATAACTACAAAAGATACAACTAATGGACATGATGAACCCACCATAAGTAATCATTTCAATTATTTTGGAGACAGAAATCTAATTACTATACTTGTCTTCCAATTTGTTTATGGATTAAAGAAACCTGGAGATTGGAAAGTCATTATATATATATATGCTTTATGCCCTAGTTTCCCAATTTTATGAGAATTTATTACATAGTTCCAAACTGCAGGAATTTTTAAACTTGGCTTATCTTTTAACAAATGAAATTATTTCATATTTCAATATCTCCAAGAGTGTAAATTAAAAATTTGTGTTTAATATGAAATTACAAATGGCACAATGGTGAGGGGTACGGTGGGATACACCCGTAATCCCAGTGGCTCAGGAGGCTGAAGCAGGAGGACTGTGAGTTCAAAGCCAGCTTCAGCAAAAGTGAGGCACTGAGCAACTCAGTGAGAGTGAGTCTCTAAATGAAATACAAAATGGGGCTGGGGATGTGGCTCAGTGGTTGAGTGCCCCTGAGTTCAATTTCAAGTACCCCTGCACCCCAAAAAGAAAAAAAATGGCACATTGGCACCTTTCTGTCCCAGCTCTCTGAAAGTACTAGACGCTATCTGGTGGACTGTTTTGCGTGATGTTCTGGTTCCCCATGAGGAGGCCCTGTGCCCTGCCCCACTGATGCCTAAGTTCTTACTGTCTTGACCCACTGCAGGGGTCAAGATTTGACCTAACTCTAAATTCAAGTCAACTCACAGCTACTCCACCTGTGCTGTTAGGCATGCCATTAGCTAAACAGAGTCGTGTGATGTTTATGTATCTCACCACTATTCACAATATTGATTCTAAATGATTTTGAAGGGAACTTCTAGATCAGAATCTATTTATCTGCAAGAGGAAAAAAAGCCATGTCAACATATTTCGAGCTTATTGGTGTCTATTTTTGAATTAGACACAGATTGAAAGCATAGCTACCTGGGTTGTTTTCCTCAGTGTCAACACATTTTAAAAAGTTTTTGAGCCTCAGTCACCGTTTTGAGCACTTGAATTTGAATTTTACCTTGAGGCTCTTGCTCAAGAAACAACTCATTACTGATCCCTGAGTTGATGTCTGGTGTCTCGGTCACCGCTGACTGCACTCACTGAACAAACATTGACTGAGCACTTTGTGCAGGCTGGAGGTGGGACAGTGTCCTGGAGGAACTTACAGTGCAAGACAAAGGGGAGACGCTCACATCAATAATTCCAATACAATTTATGTCCTAATGAAAATAAAATGCTCTGGAAGTATGGGGGTGGAATCATTTTAGCTGGGGGACCAGGAAAAGTGTCATGACATCTGTATGAGCATAGCCCTGAAGGGATAAGCCCGGGAACAAGGAAGTGAAAGCAGCAAACTGCAGGCTGAAGGAGTCATGTAAATGCTGATGTGCTGACAAACGTGAAGCCCAACACGCATTCACATGTCGTCCAATGTGGGTCTAGCCTACAGGCCATGAAGGAGGACCAATGTCTTTGTAAATTAAGATGGCTTCATGGAGCCGGGCAAGGTGGCACACACCTGTAATCCCAATGGCTTGGGAGGCTAAGGCAGGAGGATCATGAGTTCAAAGCCACCCTCAGCAACAGCAAGGTACTAAGCAATGCAGTGAGACCCCGTCTCTAAATAAAAAATAGCGCTGGGGATGTGGCTCAGTGGTTGAGTATCCCTGAGTTCAATTCCAAGTACACCCTTCTCCATCCCCTAAAAAAAGATGGCTTCGTGGTGAAAAAGGAAAAGTACTCATAGACTTCCAGGTTTTAATAGCTCTTTCCAAATATGCAGACATACATTGCATCCTTATAACTGAGGAGACAAAGTACCTGCCATCCTTAATGACTTCACATGTTCTATTGTTGATCTCCTTATCCATTTTATGGCGAGCCTTTAGAAGAGAAATGAAGAAACGTTATTTTAATTATCCTAATACATAAAGCATCAATGTCAAAGTAAAATAAGCTTAGAGCAGGAAGTGGAAATTTGCATGAGAAATTCTTACCACATCGTCCACCAGGTCTTTGATTGCAGTGATGCCAAGTACCAGAAGTAGTGGGACAAGGGTGGTGTACCATGCCAGGGTAGAGATTTGAGGAATTGCCTAAACGAAATAAAAAAGACTTCAATACATGAAGGCAGAGCTGACTTACAGGTGACTGATGGCTGATTCCAAGCTGCTCGTACTAATTTTCAGCGTCACGTAAGTCTACATCTGTAGAACACATAGGAAAAAGGTATTTAAGCACCCAACCTCTTTCTGGTGATTCTCTTCTGGTCATCTGGAACAGAGCCTGGAGGACAACGGCTCCTGAAATGACCTCACTGTGACTTTCACTGGACATCAAGGGGGTTTTCTGACATGATAACGACAAGTGAACTGCTCTGAAGTTTTGTGGGAATCATAATTAACTGAAGGGGTTCATGCTTAACTTTCAGGGAAGGCATGGAGGCTGTACAGAGTAGTTGCTCAGACAGTGATTTCTGTGGGCCTTGTGATGCAGGCAAAGTGGCAGCAGGTAGTGGCCCTCTCTGAAAGCTGGTGATTAGATGGAGCGTCTTTGGGAGCACTTAAGGAAGTGCTCCCTTCATGATCATTGCTACTGGTACAGCCAAGAAAGGGGCTGGCCTAACAGGAAGCTCTACCTGTATCAAGACAGCCTTCCAGCTTGATGGAAATTTGGAAAGTAAGTTTGAAAAGATTTCTTGTGACCATCCTGTTGATTATTGGGCCATATCATGTGGTAGTTATTTGAAATTCAATTCCCAGGTCCAGTCCTGCTTGGATCTATACACATAGGCTTTGGGCCTCGGAGCAAATTACTTTGCCTCTCTGGGCCTCAGTTCTTCTCTGCAAAATGGAGGCTACGTTACCTCATTGAGTATGTGAATCCAGTGAAGAAACAATGAAAAGGCAGGCAAGGAGGGCTGGGGATATAGCTCAGTTGGTAGAGTGCTTGGCTCATATGCACAAGGCCCTGGGTTCAAACCCCAGCACCCCCCCAAAAAAATAAAAAAATAAATAAAAAAAAAAGAAAGGCAAGGAAAGTGCTAAGTCTATTGCTATTATCCTGATGGGATGGCTACACCTTAAGGAGACTGTGGTGCAGCTCAGAGAGAGGAAGGTCATTTCCGCAGCACTGTGACTATGTGAATCTCTTCCCCCTTTAAAGAATTAAAGGAAAAGTAGTCCACTGACCACACAGTAGTACCTTGTAATCTGTTCACACACCTGTCTGAACACGCCCCTCAACAGCAGGACCATCCTTTATGACAAGTCAGTGGGTTTGTTTTCTACCAAATCTGTTGAGTGTCCACTTCTCCTGAGTGTCTTTTCTCTACTTTCTCTCCTCTCCACCTCATTCCCCCCTGGACACACCATTTTATAAAACTTTAGTGCCGGAATCCCAGCAGGAGAGCTGTTTTCCAAATCCAACTCTTACACATGGTCTTTGTGACCCACATGTCAGGTACTGAAGGCAGACTCATTTCATCAATTAGAGCAGCAGTTTCTACACAGATAGAAGTTTTGCTTTACAAACAACGAATCCTCTGCCACAATTAAAAACATAATCAGAAAGAAGGCTTTTTCTTATATTAAAAACCAGTTTGCAAAAATATAAGCTTGGAGCTGGGCACATTGGTACACACCTATAATCTCAGCAACTCAGAAGGCAGAGGCAGGAAGATCACAAGCTCGAGACCAGTTCTTGTCTCAAACCAAAAAATAAAAAGGGCTGGGATGTAGCTCAGTCATTGATTACTCCTGGGTTCATTTCCCCAGTACTTCCAAAAGAAGTAAATAATAACATAAACTTACGACCAAAATATTAATAAAAATCAATGATATTCTTAGGGAAATTAGGCAACTAAGTACAAAAATAGAGGACAAACACAAAAAAATAGATTTCATTACAAATAATTCTACAAAGTGAAGACTTTAGTTTTATTCACTTTGGGGATATCAGTTTCAATACATACATTATAAGAAATGAAACTTAAAAAAAAATAGAACTAGAATCGATTTCCATGCGTTTCCTTCCCTGTTCAAATACTGAGTGAGCTGGTTCTGTGGGTGAGGCACTACTTCCTTGTGTAGAAAGCTCTACTGTTAATACAGAACAGTTTCAAAACTGTCCACATTATGTGTCCCAAACTTAATGTTAGAAAGTCATCATGATTCACACAGATTTAAGATACCAAAGGGCATTACCTGCAAGATAAGAAGAACCAGGAAATAGAAGTTAGCTGCTCTCTTAAACTGCTCAAACAAATTCATTGGTAGGAAGGTGAGTACGTTGTACTTGTATGTTTTAATTGCATTACTCTGTTGGAAAAAAATAAGAAAGTGATTCTAAATGGTGCCATATATCCACATACGTGTAAAAGTCACTATATCCCATGGCCTATAGTGACCCAGGGCCATCCATCAGAAAGATGCTGATTTCCTGTAAGCCTTTAATTCTAGCCAGGCCTCAGAATGACTACTTGGAGTCTTATGTCAGAAGGAGGAACAAGATACAGAAGTGAGACTGGCCTTATGATCCTGCCCTCAATACTTTGACCCATGACAGCCTCTTAGAAAATAGGGTGAAGGCAGATGTCAACACAAGCAGGTCAGAAACACAAATACCTTTATTAAAGGGGGAATGAAGAAGACCATGGAAGAAAGAGTATAAGACAATCTTCTGGATTGAGCCGTGTCCCCCAAAAGATACAAGTCCTAATCCCAAAACCTGTGAATGGAGTATTCTTTGGAAATGAGGTCTTTGCAGATACCATCTACATGAAGCCATAATGGATTAGATTGAACCCTAAGGTGGAGAGTGATGTCCTTATAAGAAGGGGAAAATTGGACACAGAGACACACAGGGATAATGCCACCTGAAGACAGAGGCAGGGATCAGAGGTAATATCTACAAACTAGGTAATACCAGGGACTGTGGCAAACACCCAAAGTTGAGAGAGGCTCTGAACTGACTTTCTCTGGAGGAAGAATCAACCCTGCCAACATCTTAATTCTGGACTCCTAGCTCCCTGAACTGTCAGAAAATAAACTTCTGTTCTTCTAAGCCACCCAGTTGTGGTTTGTTAAGGTGGCCCTCAAGCCCACACCTAACAGGTGTTTCATTGCAAAAGTAATCAGTATTATTTTAGGTGGAAAATAAATCTTTAAAGTCTCTAAACCCATCCCAGGCAAAGGAGGGAGAAAAGTCAGTAATTAAGATTTGTTTCGAATTCATTACTTTCCAACATAAAGTTTTGGTGACATTATTTTATCTTCTTTTATAAAACATTTTTAAGAGAGCTTTGCACACACCTAGGGAAAGTTTCAATCTAATTATAGTGACTTGTTTCAAGTCTTCTCTACCTATAGTCAGGGTAGATAAGCTTCAATAAAAATGGATTTTATACAACTAAGAGGGTTATCAACAGACCCAGGCTAGTGGTTACTTGGAAGGCAGGTGCGGTCTGAGGCTGGCAAGCATGATAGCAACTAGAGAAAATGGCTTTAATACAGATAACTTAGGAATCAACTCACCGCATATTTGCTCTCCTTAATACAAAAGAACTTTGTGTTCATAAAATGAGGTTGTTCGTGGTACTTTCGATCATTCGCTTTAACTTGCCAAGTGCAATCTTTAAAAAAGAAAGAGAAAAAGTATGTAAATAGAAAAAGCAGGGTCATTGCCAAGGGAATCAAATTACAGTGAGGTAATTGGAATGGGTCCTAATCCAATATGACTAATGTCTTTGTAACAAGGGGAAATTTGGATGCAGAGAGAGAGACAATGATACGAAGTCACTTGGAGAAGATGGCCATCTGTTAGCCAAGAGAGGCCTGAAGTGGATCCTGATCTCACCATCCTTGGAAGGAATCAAATCTGTTGGTACCTTGATCTTGGACTTCCAGGCTCCAGAACTGTGAGAAAATAAATTTCTGTTGTTTAAGCCACCCAGTTTGTGGTACTTTGTTACAGCAGTGCTATCAATCTAATATCCAGGTTGTGACTTGACCAGATGTTCACAGAACATTAGAATTTGGAAAGAATGATCCCCATCTAAACATGACCCAAACAAAAATACTAGAGCCCTAGAAGGTCACAGCTCAATTAAATTATTTTTTTCAATCTTACTGACATAGTTTGTAAAATTTATATCGCATTACATATTTAATGAATGAATAAATCAAAGGAAAAGGATATCACCACCTAATTCAACACTTCTCAGTCCTGAGGTTACCTGTCAGTGTTGTGCACTGCCTCACCCTGATGACTAATGTTCATCAAGTTCAATGTCTTTCCAAGTTCTGAATGGACTCAGTCCATTCCATTGCTGTGTCTAGATTCCAGGGAACTTGAGAAAGCTTCTCTGCTGTGGGGGAGAACATTCTCACCCAACGAAAGTCCCATAAAATGTTTCTTCCCACCTCTCTCCCCCACATGACTTTGCTAGCCTGATTCTCCCTGGATGGTTTGCCTCATAGTCATTGGAAGACATGTGCTCCTATTTTAACAGAATAGTCCCCAACTCTGTCCAAGCCTCCATATGTACCTCTCTATATTTATCATCCAGCATAGAGGCTCTTGGTGCAAGCTCCATCCTGAGATCCTCCCAAGAGCTCTGTGGTCACTGGACTCTTCCTATCTTTGCCTTAAACCCAGGCATGTCCTTAAGTGTCCCCAGCTGGGAGGATCTAGGTTCTGCTATAGCCTTCCAACAGAGGCTTCACATTTCCCCCCATAGCCAGGAATATCTTTCCAAGTGTCTGGAGGGAGACGGAGCTACAGCAGGAAGTTGGCCAGTGGCAAACTTCACCAGTAGCACTGTTTCTCAGGGTCATGACCAGAGATCTTTAAAAGCTTCAAGAGAGGGAGCCTGGTTCACTTAGAGATTGTTACAGACTTGTGGTTGCTGCCCTGGTGGCTGGGCATGCCCAGCATGCTCTTCATAGGACAACAGTATGACATCCGGCAGTGGACTCAAGGCCCAGGTTTCTCTGTGGACCAAGCTGTGCACGCTGTTCATATCTGCTCTTTTGTCAATCTGAATGAAGTTGTTCCCTGTGTCTGCATGTCTGAAGCATCCCCCTCTTGGACAGGTGTCCCCTCTGGACATGTTGAACAAGCCACTGCACTGCTCACTCACAGCAGTCCTTTGACAGCTCTGCCTCTGGGTCTTGAAAATCACAGTCCCAGCTGGAGGGAGTGACTGCAGCTGCCTGTCACATTCTGGGACATGGGCCTTCACAGAAATTCACCCCTCAGCAGTAGCTATCCTTTATGACCCTCTGTGGCCTGTTCTTTTGGCTACCACCCCCCGCATACACATCTTCATCCTCAGCTGTCCCTCCACAGCCTCCCAGGGGTGAGGTTGACTCTGACCATGGGGATGAGACACATATGCACTTTGAGTGAACACATTCTGATGAAGAGGGGTAATGTCAGCCCCCCTCCCACACACCTGCTCTACATCCCAGCCACACCGGCCAGAAGGACAACAATCGTCACTACTGCTCCCCCCAGAGGCCATGAGTGCCATGTGTTCCTTTCCTTCCTAGAGTGGTTCTTGGGCAAGACTAGAACATGCCAAGCTTATTCTTATATTCACCTGTTTTACACACAGTAGCACCCCAGATACCTTTTGCATGACTAGGAAAAGCAAAATCCACAAGCGCTGAGGTACAGTTTATCCTCAACTTGTTTCCTTTCTACCATAATGGGTGACCTATCGGTGGAACCTAAGCACTGACTTGGAAGGGTGGCTTAAAACAGGTTTAACCTCTCTCCTGCTGCCCCCATGTGTGACTATGCTCAGGAGGACAAACACACTGCTACTGAAGGCTGTAGACAAGGGTACCATCTAGTAAGAAGAAAATCCCAGGCAGAACCTGTCAGCATTGGCCTCCTCATGAAGGGCATGCACATGAATTTCCCTTGGTGAAGTGCATGCACACGAGTCCCTCCCTATGATTCTTTAAATCCACATGTGGGTAAACCAGGTTTTGATAAAATTTACCAGTGTGGCACAACCATTTTTTGGAGAAGGGAAATATATTAAAGAGCATTTACAAGTAAGGAATTATAAAATGATCAATCGTAGGGCTATTATAAAGCTAAAGACATCATACTTTTGAAAATATTTCATTTCAACTTTTTAAATGGCTCATTTTTCCGACTCCTACTCCCTAGGAAATAGAGATAATACTGTAAGAGGTTCATGTGTGGACTACTGAAGAATGCAAATAATTAACCTGATTACTTTTTTTAAACCACAGTACTGTTACTGAATGCTTTTCTTGCACGATTTCAGCTGCCACTCATCGGGTATTCATAAGTGTTGTGTTGTGACAAATAGAAATGTTCCTGGCATCTTTCTGCTCAAGTGCACTTTTATCAAAAGGGAAAATGGAAATGGAACCATAAGCCAACTCATGAGCACTATAATAATGTCTGCAATCAGAACATTTCTTTCCCACTCCAAGAAGTGTTCTAAAGGAAAATAAGTTAAAAGAAAAAGAAAAAGACATTACACAGGGTAATATTGAATCCATTCTATTTCATGGTAATCTACAAATGTATGTGCTCTTAATGGTGTACTTGAGCTAGCAGATGACTTGGTGACATAACCTGGCTACTATTGTTCTAGAGTACCTCTAAGAATACCAGGATGCCATATTAAATGTCAGAAAGGCTGAGCAGAAAACCAGATGAGATTCTTGGAGAAGAGAGAAAAGGCCCCATGACAATGATCTGAAATCAATCTTAAATACTCAGGACCAAAGAATAGCCATCCTGCTAAAGAGCTGGATGTCACAAGCTTCCCCAGCCTTCCTGTGGTTCCCCATGTGGCTCTGTAAATCCACTTGGTAATTAAGCCCCCATCTGCTGGTTGCTCTATCTAGACCCTGCACTACACCCTAACCACCAGTCCACTTGATTTGGATGTCTCAGAGGAAGCATGGTTTCTGACCTCAAGTAGGAGCATCTCGGGGTTACAAGGTATGGCCTTGGCTTCTTAATTTGACGTGTTTGATAAAACTTAGGGTAGCCCAGAGAAAATCACCAGTGTGTCTTCATATCTGAGATTTAACCACAAGAGCCTTTCTACTTAATTTCACAAATCTGTTGCAGTCAAGTAATCGAAAACCCTATTTCCAGTTAAGGTTCCGTGTTTGCCCTAATTCAGACAAATCAATGGGCAAACAAAGTGATGTCTTCTTCTGATTTTTTCCTGAGATTTGAGCTAATTGTTTGAGTAGCATTTCAGTCAGAGATCTTACAGAATGTGAAAACGGTGTTCTGTGGTCAAAAAGACATTTGCAAAATTCTGCATCCCTCTCTCAGACATGAAATGGATGCGTTGAACCATTACAGGCTCTGAGAAGCCCTGGAGTAAAGAAATTTATTTAATTCATCTTTTCAAAATTAATGTGATCATGGGCATATTTTTAGGTCATCACTGAACACTTATTAATATTGTTTGAGAAATGCTGCAGTAATGTGTGTATCTTTAGGAAGGCTAACCACTTGAGGTATTTGCCTTTTGGGTCAAATATTTATTAAGTATCCATTTACATCTTTATTGGAAACTTGGACCACAGGCTGATTTATAGAAAAAGAAGATATCTTGTTCCATTTTCTGGAATGGAAATACAGATGAACAGAAGAAAAATAGTAAATTTACCAGCAAAAAAATAAACTGCACTTTCACCATATGGCCCTTTAGTTAAAAGCCATAAAGACAACTCTCCAGGGTTGTGTCAACAAAACCATCAAGGCACATGTCCAGAGATGCATTTAACATGAGCCACATGTGGCCCCAAACCACCCCTCAGTCTGGCAAATGCTTGTGTCATTGATGCATCTAAACACTGCTACGTGATGTCTAGAGTGTTCCCACAGTCACCAAGTCCTTTGATCACCACCATCTGGCAAGGAAATACACTGGCCTCACCCCTATCCTCTTTGCTGGCTCTGAATTCTTGCTTTACAGATCTACCAAGAACCAAAAACCTCCATTGACTGGTACCAACCACAGCAAACTTGGAGAGTAGACAGGTCAAAAGCTTAAAATCATAACAACAAAAAGAAAACAAACAAGCCTGAGAGAGAAATGGATGTAGGACATGAATAGACAGTTCATACAAAGGGAAATTCAAAAGGCTCTTCAATGTGTAAAAAGATATTCATGGTCATCAAAGAAAAAATGTAATTTCTCATAGAGGTCCCAATTTTTACCTTATCAAGAAAAAATATTGGCAGAGAGTAAAGAATATGATGACACTCTGGGTTAAAAAACAAGGGGAGAATTTAGATCCTGTAGGTAGTCTCTGTGGAGCATTAGCCCCCCGCCCCATCTCTGAATAATCCCACTAGTAGGAATTATTCTCCATGTATATACCACCCCTAGGGTGCTGATGATGGCAATGTCACACTGCAGGGCTATTCAATGCAGCCTGTTTAACAGAGAGATTAGAAACAAACTAAATGCCTACCAGAGCAGCTGCTTAAACAAACAGGTGACTTTATATGGACAATAGGGAAGTTCTCCATATTACACAGTTAAAGTGACAGAAGCAGAAGGGTGCTGACCATCGTGTGCTTTCAGCTGTGTGATGTACTGAATCAATGCACAAC